CATTCTGAAATTCACTGCCCACACAAACTCCATTCTTTGCCCCATTGTAGTATAGTGCAGCTATAAAGCTAGTAGAGAATGAGAGGTGATTTAGAGATGCACGTGTTAGATTTTAAATGATTTCCAGTATATTATAATGATCATTTTTAATGATTCCAAAGTAGACTGGTTGTTAATGATGTTCACAGAGTTATGTGTTAGTTGTCAGCTTAAGTTGGATTTCTCTCTCAAAGTATTCTGTGAATGAATGACATGACACCAAAACAAAAGACCGTATGTATCAGTAATGTCTGTGATACCAGTATCTTTGTGAAACATAGATGTCTGTGCCTTTAAATTTTCAAACATTACATTCTTAATTTTTCCACAGTATGGTAATGATTGACTACTCTTTAAAAATAGCATCATAGGTAGGCTGCTGTAGTTAGGTGTAGTGTAAATCTTTTCAGTTGTAGCACGTCTTTCCTGTAAGGTTAGTTTTGAAACACTTTGAGGAACCTAACCGTATGATATTTCTGATTACTGATAAGAACACAGAATATTTTCTTGTGTGTGAAAACTCACATTCACCCATCAAGTCATATTTACAATTTGTTGCTTATGGTAATGTATCATTCCACCTGTTCCTCAAAAGGCGGTAATTGATTAACTTTTATATTGGTGTTTTCTTTAAAAAAAAACAGACATACTTTGGCAAGGCAGCTGTAACTATGAATCCTTTTCTGAATGTGTGGTCGGGATTCTAATATAGAAACTGAAAATGTTCTCTTCTGGTATGAATGGCATTTCCAAGCTGCAGAGAAACCGTCTCGGTATTAAATGTAAATCTAAAAAAAACAGAAACAACTGCCCCTATAGTTGTGTCTCTGGCTAGCAAAGAAGGTGAGAGTAACAAACAATGTCAGATCTGAAAATTATTCAGATAAAGGTCTTTTGCCTTTTTGCTTTGACACATCTTAATTCTGTGATTCACCTGAAGATGTTTTGTAAGTTTTTTGTAAGGAGCATGGCATTTCTGAGGTCATGGTGAGCTGTACAAAATTTTAGTTGCAGAGGTAAGGTTTTCAAGTGTAACTTGCTTTTTATTAATATATTAAGCCTAATATTTTTAAATCTTATTCATAAATCAGAGCTGTACACCTGTGGAAGTGAGTTACTTATATATTATATTGAGTTTTATACACACAATGTATACACATTTATTAATCAAAATATTAGTAATCGTAAGAAGAGTTTGAATTACATTCACTAAATGTTGAGATGTTTTACAATCCATTACATTCTTTTGAGGTTGCAATGTGGCTGATTATGCCAAAAGGCTAAAGTGTATGTTCAGCCATATTTCAGCAGGACTGAGGTGTGGAGATTGCTCTGGCCAGGAAGGTGATTGATTTCTGGTTCATGTTCCTCAAACCAATCCACCAGACATTGTCAGTCAACGAGAGAGTCTTGAAGAGGGGTTCCTAATTTTTTGGCCCCATAGAGGTCCATAATAGAATCGGTATATCAGTCGCAAAACCCCCTCTAAGATTTGAAAGAAGAAAATTGTACACAAATACAGAGCCTTCAAAAAGTATCAGGCTAGCACAGCAAAGTGTTAGTTTGACAATTTATATTTATCATAACTGCATTAATTTAAGTGATAAGCACAAAATAATGTTATTTTATGTAATCCTTTTACACAATTATTATGCTGTATAATATTATATACAATATAGTGCAAACACATTTTAGTTACAGTAGTTATATCATCAATAAAGACAAGGGAGCCATTTGCAGAGGTGGCCGTGCATGATGTCACCTCGACCATGCTTCACAGGTGAGGTGGTTTTCTTTGCACTGTCTCCAGTTCCTTTCTGTGTCCACCTTTTAACCTTTTATCACTTTGGTAGGCATTTTTCTTAGTCTCATCTGTCCACAATACACTAATGCATTTAAGGCTTAGCAAAGCATCTTAAAGGCTTCCATGAAAAGTTGGTAAGTAAAGCAATCGTGTTTGCCGCGTGTATATATGGACCTCTGTGGTGAATGTTTTTGCATTGTTGCATTAGGTTATTTTACTTTTTTGTTTGTACTTATAACTTAAATACTTATTGGCATTACAGGTTTCTGTGTTGCACAGCTATCTAGGAACGTAAAAACCGCAGATGTTCTATACTTATTTTTCTAGGAAATAAGAACTATTATGTTGAAGAGTTAAACATTTTTTGCGCAGTCTAACATTGTTAGCTCAGACACAGGTGTAAGTTATAAAGTTTGTGCTTGAATGGGAATAGCTTTCTGTAATACAGCTAAAACATTACCTGCACTAACCTAATGACGGTCATAAATAAAATGAGTATGAAAATGTCATTGTTTCAGGTGCTGCCATCTTACTTTGATAGGAAAGAAAAATGGGGCTTCAGACATAGAGGTAAAAAAAGGTACTGTATTCTGCAGTGTAGTCTGCAGTTGCTGCCTTAATTAGAACGTTTCATGGATGAGGATGATGAACAACTTATTAACGAGGAAGTTGGAAGGCTCTGCAGGTGAACCAGGGGATATAGCCCTAGATCTGCACCACATCTTTCACAGTTTGTGACTCAGTTAGGTACTGTATTGTTGCAAAACAGTGCCAGCATTCAGTAGCTACAGTCACGTGACACCCTGACTGGTGGTTAGAAGTTAAATATGTGTCCCATTGATTTAGAATGGAAAGAACAGCTGTTGGAGCAAAATGAGAAATTGTTTGAGTGGAATCCCATTGTTAGGACTTGTAGTAATTTGTGAGTTTTTCATTTGGTTTATTCCACGCGTCTTTCCAGTTTTATAAAGTGGACCAGAATTCCAAGGTTTATAAAAAGAGTACAATAAGTAAAATACCAAAACACAGCTTTTGTTTTATTTTGCAGTCCACTTAACACTTTCAGGAACACTAAAATAAAATTAACACTTAAGTAGTTGCCAGAGGTAATTAATTAGTCAGCTGATACATCCGTACCTCTACAAACTGTTTGTATAGCTTTTTTTTTTTGCATTTCTCCTCCTAAGCAAGTAATTTTTGCCAGTCATTGTTATTTTACCAATTAAGTAGGTGATTTATTTAGCAATTATAGATAATTTGGAGAAGAATCTAAATTCCCCTTGATTGGACATATTACTTAATTGATCAGTATCATAAACCTTTTTCCAGTCTTTAAAACAAGTATTTTTGGGATGCCTTATAAGACTAACTGGACTGGAGATGGTTGACAGAAAGCGCTAAATAACTGGCTGTTGCAAGGAAAGAGGAGAGTATTTGAACGGAATCTGGTTTTCACTTGGTGCCAGTAAGCACTGCAGGGAAGGTTATTCATGATGTCTGCCTTCTTTCACTTAGAATGCATAATTTTAAAATTTGTCCGAAACCTGAAACTAATTCTGGTTGACACTTCCCTTCCTCATATGTGGTAGAAAACATAGCAAATGTTAGCCTGTGCCCACATATTTTGCATGTGGTTTTTATGCTACAGTATCAAATTACCTTCAGACCTATAATATGTTTTTGTAAGTATCAGGGAATATTTGAAGGATCAATAAAAAGGAAGGTCTTCTTGAAAATAAAAGAATAGGATCTGCTGTTGGACTATTCAATTGCATATTTAGCAATGAATATGTAATTAGTTGAATGTCGGGCTTTTGTTAGTGTTTGAGAAATGTAGCCAGTTTCATGTCACAAATTATTTTTACTTTAGCTCTTTTCCAAACTTCGGTTTTCTCCTGCTTTTCCTTCATACTCTGAGTTATGAGTGTTAAGAGAATGTTATGATTTTCACTTCCTTACATGACTTTTTTTACTTTGAGAGACTTTGGAAGGTTTACAGTATTTACAGAACCATAAAAAGATTCAGAAATTCCACAGAACCCAAATACAGTTCTGTGGTCTTTTCTGTTTTCAGAAGTTTTCTCCTGTTTCTCATTGATAATTCTGGGTTAGATTTATTAAAAATAGCCTCAGAAAATGAGTTGAAAGTGTTTACCTAGATTCGCACAATGCCTCTGCTATGTTATTATCAAGATGCAGTTTTCATGTAATCTTTCCTACAGTATCTTTCCTGTGTTTCAGTTCATTTGACATACAGTATGTATAGCTGTGTTTCTTAGGCCTGAATGCATTTTTAGAGTATCCCTAGAATTGCTTTGGAGGTTTATACGGTACAGTTTAACCCCTTTTTACTTAGGAGTTTGTAGTTTGTAGTGTTTTACAGCAGACAGATCAGTGGTTCTGTCCTAACTGGTACAGGTCATCACCATTTCTGATTAAAGAAATATGTAAGTTTGGTCATTTAATGCTACTCACATATAGTACCATATGTAGTCTGACCACAAACTGCAGTTTTAGGCGTAACTCCAAATCCCTGTCCTACGTGGCACAGAGGACAACCAGACTTGTTCCACCAAGACAACTGACCCCTGACATGGGAGATCAAAATGCTTTTAGAAACCCAAGTGAATCCTGTCATCATAACTTCATTGAACCTTATGAGCTCTGTTACACCCTCCACCGCAAACTCATTTACTGCTGATATGTTTACATCTAAATCATGATCCCAGAAGCGTGATATTTTAGAGTCTGGGTTTGAACCTGTTAGGTGTATGGACAAGTGCTTGGGCCACACAGCCCAAATACTGTAAGTGTATAAGACCCTCTTGAAAAAGAGTGGTTGTCTGACACGGGGCAGTTGAATGCTCTGAGAACATATCACGACACATGGCATCACAGGGAAGTGATATCATTATATCAGGCCAGTTGTACACTGTGATTCCAGTAACACTCAATGCAAGGTGTTACACTAGGCAGGAATGGACCTATGTCAAGAGCTGAACAAAGACCCAGGTTTACATTCCACCTTTGCCTCGACCTGAAGAAATTCGCTCCAAAGACTAGACCATGATGAACCTGTTATTCTTGTGCTAGAGAAGTCTTGGCTTGCCAGCAGGAAGTTAATTGTCTTCATGCCAAGTGACGCTAAATTAATAGTAATGTATCTGCTTTTGAGCCCTGTAAATTTCTTCAATGTATTGGTTTCTTTCTACTAGTGAAAAGAAATAGTATATGAATGGTTGCATTCAGGTTAAGAAGTAAATCTTCTATTATTTTGCCAGATTTCTGGAGGCATAAGGTTGGTTTTTAATCTTTTTACTTTTTCTTGAATGTTTCTGTAATAGTGTGGGGCGTTTTAGGCTGTGCTGAGTTTTAACGATTGTCTTGGTTTAAACTGAGTTTCTGTCACCCTTAAGCTGACAATTCTCTTAGACTTCCTTTTACTAAGAGCTTTTTCAATAGCTGAGCAAGTTAGTAGAGCTGTTTCGGGTGACAGTGTTGCTCCATAATTCCCAGCATGATCTGAATCAGTTTTTTTAATCCTGCTTCACCACTGTCTACTCTCTCTGCCTTTTGTAATAGTTTTAGAACAGTTGATCTTATCCACAGTTATTTTTACATTAGTAACAGAGAATGACATGTCTCTACCTACAAAGAAAATAATTACTTTTTGAGGTACCCTATCATTATTATTCTTATTATTGTTTCGTGGTCTAATCAACAATATTCAGAGTACCCTTTAAAATGCTTGAATTGTGTTTATTTCAGTTTAAACGGCATTAAAAATAAACCCACCTATATATAAGGTTAATGAAAAAACTGTGAATTGAAGTTTATTTGAAATTTTGAGTTATTTCAAACTGTTATTTTATAAAAGGTATAAAATAACAGTACAGTACTGTTTACTACCTGTATGTTGAGTGGTAGGTCATTTGGAATGGTAGCCTTTCAGTCCATCATACTCATGTGGTCTCTTTTAGTCATGTATCATGTACTGATATCAATGACAACGCCCATTGCACCCACTTATCAATTTTCTCACCACTTTATCCACTTTTATTAACCACTACTTTCTGTTTTGGATACTTTTGCCAGACTGGAGGGGCTCTTATCTATCGTTTAAATTACAGTTATCTGGTGAGGTACAGCTTTTTGTTTATTTTTTCTTTCAAAAATCCACCCGTTGTTCGGACTTGGTGTTAAGGATTGTCATAAATTGTGCCGTTCTGGCTGATAGGTCTTTGAGAAGATGTAATTGTCATCTTGCTTTGTGATATTTGGTGTCATTGAAGTGTTTAATAATATATTTATCCAAGTGCTTGACTGCATAAATAAGACCAAATCATTATGGCTCAAAGTATGAGAATACACACTTTTTACTCCACACATGCCGTTTTCATTTGTTGGAAAAGAAGTTCTATTTCATTTGTATGAGAAATAGAACATGTTTGGTTGCTGTCATAGCTGCTAAAGTATGTGCCACCACTTACTTAATTAAAAGGTTCCATTTTTACATACAGGCATCATTAAGTTTATGTTAAATTAACATGTTTTATTTAATAAATAATGAAACAACATATTTTGATGTGTCCATCATTCAGGTTATCTTCATTAAATATTGGAGTTCAGATAAAAGATTTCTAAAAGATAATTTAAGACTTAAAAAAGATGAGGGGTTCACATACTTTCAAGCAGCACTGTGGATTCTTATGTCTTCTATCATATTAGTTTGTGGAGTTTAAATAGTATGTTTTAAGTCAGGTTGATGAACACTGGTATTTGCTGTAATGTGTCCAAAAAACGTTTGTTTTTTGGACATGTTTGTTCTTCGGATATGCAGTGACTTTATTGATTTTTGTATAACAACCTTTTTCTTCACTTTAGACGTAATTCTTCTTCGTGTTACTATTCAGTGAAGAGATTGAGTAGTCAGATCTTTCAAGTTATTAAATGTGAAATACTGCAATTAATTTTTTGTTATGTTGCTGTTTATCTTTTCTTTTTAATATTTGACAGATGCTTTCCCTTACACAGGTTCAAATTCAATTGTCTTTCCATCTTCTGTAACAGAATTCGTGGCTTTTTTTTTTTTTTTTTTGTTACTTTTACCCATTTTCAGGCCAACATTTTTTTTATTTGGTTAGGTTGGTTGTTTCCTTCCGGAAAAAAACATGTCAAAATTCTAACTGTTCAAAACCATAGAAATGCATTCCCTGTGCAGAAGGGTCGTGTCAACAAGGGAATTTGTGGATTCTTAATTACAGGTACAGATTAATTCTAGTATAATGTAGTTCTGATTAGGAGACTATAGTTCTGTTATTTGTATTTGCATTTTTGCAAGTATATGTATTATCTGTTCTATCAAATACTTAAATGTTCTACCATCCTTTTATTTAAATTGCACATTTTGTAAGAAATGTTGCGAATTGCAGATAGGAGATAATTTATACACGGATTGTTCAGCTGAGTGGAAGTTTGTTTTCACTTTTGGAAATTTAAGAGAAAGGTTATGTGGGCACTGGAGCTTTGTAAATGTCCCAGGTTCAGATTAAATTTGCTTAAAGAGTCAAAGAACAACAATGAATCCATCACTATTGTAGGATCTCTCTTGGGCTGTTTTTTGAAGTTTCTGTTACAGATTTTGGTGCTTTGTGTTGTTTGCTTTTAAAACCAGTTGTTTTCTTTAAACCACCATTGACACCTGATAATTGTTTCCAATAATGCTCCATTAAACAAAGGAAGCTTCTCCAAGTGAAAAAGAGTGAAATCTTGATTAACTGCAATGCAATTTTTTATATTTTGGTGATAGATTCAGCATTGATGAGTACATTTTAAACCGCAATAAAAGTAAAGTTTTCACAGTAACTAGTAAAACCTCCAATTTACATCACAAAATAGACCAAATTTCCAGGTATGTGCACCTCTATATTCTGCGATTCAGAAGGAAGCAACAAAACCTCAGGTGATGATGCGGTACTATTACATTGTAAACCAGCAGGCTTGCGAATATATCACTTTAATTTAATACAAATTCTGCTCTCAACTTTAAGACGGTTTTGTTAATAAATGGAAACTTGTTAACTCTGCATATAGATCACTTTTGAACATTTCTGTGGTGAAATGTCTGCTGTACAACCTGTACTTTTTTGCTTGTACATCACATTGGATTTGTCATTACAGTGACTAGTGAGCAGGAAGGGCCATATCACGTTGCAGTTTGTGGGAACTCTTGCCCATGGAGAGACTAAAAGTTTGTAATAACATGGTGCCATATGGTATTTTAGCAAATTTCACGATTTTTTCCTTCATTTGAAATTTGTTAAATTTTTCCATACCGAGATTTAATTACCGCTCTGAGAAATTTGGACTGCAGTTTAATTAACGGTTTAATTTAACCCTTTAATGAACAGTTTGCCTTTTCTGCATTAGTCCTAAAGTTCACATCACATCAATTAATTTAATTACAGTGGCAAAAGAAGTGTATGGAGGTGCTTGTTTGTTCATGTTCTGTGTTGCCAAAAAAAGGTGAAGCCAAAATTCTTAATTGCTAAACAGTCACATTATAAGTTATACAGGCCAAAATGAGGAAGTTAACAAATCTTTTGACTGATAGTCTGGTGGTTTACCATCTTATGCATGGTAAAAATACTTTTAAAAGAATCACATCTTTTTATAACATAATCCATGATAACATATCCAAAATTTAATGTACTAGTATGTTGTTCTTTAACTGCAGAAAAATGTATCCAAGAACTATTGTACAACTAAGTACAACAAGATATAGGGTTCTGCAGCTAGATCTTAGTTTTGCATTTATAAAAGCCCTAAAACAAGCTGTTTTGAAAGCATCAATGTTTTTCCATGCTTGCTTTAAAAGTGGTTTTATTTCCCAAATGCTTGTTAATAATTTATGCTTGTGCACTGGAACATTTGAATGTTCAGGTCAAATTGCTTTATCTAAAAAATAGGAGCACACCTTTATCGTGCTATAACCAATACTGCACTAAAACTATTCATGTCATAAAAGAGCAGTACTGTTTTAAACTTCAAATTGAAGTATTGTTTTTGAAGTACTATTTAGTGAATATTTAATCATTTTGGATAGACTTGTTTTCTAAAGCTCCTTTCAGGACATGGCTTTCAGGCCTTGCTATGAGAATTACATAATAAGGAATACTAGAGCCCACTTCAGGGTCCCATGGACTATAGCTGTAGATGTTATTCATTGTCATACCTTGTTTAATGTCCTTGCTGGACATTTTGGAGTACCTGCCAAGGATTTTATTGTACTGTGTCTTTTGTATAATCATATGCCTAATAGCGTCTTTTATTTTATTCCCTTTAACAAATAATATTTACCCAACAAAAATCTTAATACTGTATCTATTGATAGTAATTTGTTTCTAGCTGTGTTGTTGAAACAATGAGAAATGGTTATTATTTTGTGGTTTCTGAATTATTTTTGTTAAATTAACTGAGAGTGTAATGCTAGAGACCTTCATCCCTATTTTCATTTATTGTAGGTTAAGTATAGATATTCCAGGTTCCGTAAAATATCTTATGACAACAAAAGTCATAAGATGCAATAGTAATACATGATCCAGCCTTTTTAACTTTTGGATTTCTATGCATATTACAAGTGTTTGTCTATTAGCAACTGATTCAGCCCTGAAAAAAGAACCTTCAGCTCAGAGAAGTTAGAAATTAATGAAAACAAAGGACTCTCAAAGAAGTGAAATTGTCCATTATATACATTTTTTTAAAATTCCAACCATGAAGTCAAAAAAGATTTAGCAGAGTTGTAGCATGGGTAAGCATCTGGATTTGTGCTGTTTATCCCAAAATCACACTCGTTTGGATTTTCTTTCCTCTAGTTTTGTTTTTAAATTGTCAGTAATCTGCTGTTTAGAGAGACAAGAGAGAGAAAAAATCTAGATTGTGTAATGTAAAAATCCTGACATATAATCCTTTTTCTGATGGAGTTAAGTGACCCTTTGACAGTGTAATGCTTGAATACTATGTTTTCAGAGAATGTTTTTAAATATTAATCTATGAGGATCTATTCCTATTACCGGATGCCACAGAACCAGAACTAATCTAGATAAACTGTGATTTATATTAATTTAAGTCTATCAGGGTTTTACTTTGTTCAAAATAAGGTTTTTGTGAATTCTTTTGAATGGGAATTTAAACCGTTTTTGCAACTGCTTTTTCATTAAAAGTGTTATTAGGGTTTCGGGTGTCAGGATTTCCCGCTGGAAAACGCTTATGCCAGGTGGTAACTTCCAACCCTGCCTCCTAGCCATCTAATGTCTAGATTATTGTACCAGTTTGCAAACTAGCTATCTTTTTATTGTAATTAAACGGTGTTATCCTGAACAAGATGTTATTTGACCACAAGGACTAGTTTGATTGCATAGGGCTCATTAAAGATGTTGGCTGCCCATGATGCTACCTGAGGAAGACCTTTGTGCTTGAAATTGTTTATTTTGTGCTTATTGAGGCAATCTTTTTTCATTTTGAAAATTGTGGTGAGTGATGAATGGATGCAGTATTTGACCAGACGATACAGCTGCAATTTCTTTTCTTTGTCAGTTACTAACATACAGTAGCTCTCAAGGGCCATAATGTGGGAAATTTTTCATAGAAAATTGTGATTGCATTCTATTTATATTGATGGTTTCTTTTATTCTCATACACAAAACATTGGTTAATTAACAGAATCAAGACTCTCTGCAACAATTTCCCAATTTTACATTCATTACTTCATTTTTTTAATCAATCAAGACTTCATGCTAATGTGTGTAATGCATAATGATCACATGCTATTCTAAGACCCAGCAAGAAGGGAGACAAATGCTTAATTTACTATATATTGTGTCTTTTTCCTCACAGGAAATCAAGCCCCAGAGTCATTATAACCATGGCTACAACGAGTCGCTCGGGCGAAAGAGCCACATTGATGATTACAGCACATGGGACATTGTCAAGGCCACACAGTGAGTAATTACTTCTGTTTCATCTTTTATACTGTATCTTTCTTTTCCTCGGTGCATGACTCTCATAATTAGATTATCCTGGTCGTTTTAAAGTTATTTTACAGCATTATGTTTTTGTTAGGTTTGTGTCTGTGTGTGCCCTGTAACAGCCATGCTGGGATAGACTCTGGCTCCCCTGATACTCTATATTGGATAAAACAGTTAGCTAATAGATGGATGTATTTGTTAGAAGGCAAAATAGTATCCCAATGCTAATGGCCACTAACTTCAGATCACCAGCCTTTAACAACCGCAGTCTATTGCAGTCTACCGAAAGCCTTTTTGATTTTTCCTGAAATCATCTGAACATCCATTATGTTCTGTTCTTGCAGATTTCTGTGGTTACTTAACTTTTGTCATTGTTTTGAGTGCTGTTTTCAAAAGATATGTTCTCAAAAACCAAGCAGAACTTTGTTTCTGTACTCCTTAAACCATATGTGATTCAAGAAGAATCACATTTATTTAAAATTTTGGTTAAAGTTAGGCTAGTGATACTTGTTGGAGATGTTGCAAAAAGGCATTAACTCAGACCAAAGTATTTTGAGTACAGACATCTAAATTATTAACTTCAAAATGAATAGTATTCTGGGGTTTAGGGCTTTACTTGACAGCACCAATCTGATGATTTCCAGTGATATCTCCATTATATTTGTGCTACTTAAAAGGGTAAGCCTCACCTTCATACTTAATATCCAAGGTCCTGTGTATAAGGTTAATAGCAAAATTATAGCATCCAGAGTGCAATAGGTCAGTCCAGTAAGATACACCAGGTTGGTGTTGGTGTTCTCCAGTGTCTGCTACTCAAGAACTAGACATTTAGATGCATAAAACAACTGTTTAGGGTGGGGATACTACACCTGCAGTCCCTCCAGTCTGCTCTACTGCAGTTATTCGATGCAACCAGCTCCTAAATTGCTATATTATAGTGAGGTGTATAGATTTAAATGTGATACATTTTGTAATGTGGCACCTTGGCTTGTGCTGAAGCCACATTACCGACAGTCATCATTGCTTCCTTATTGTTTGCATTGTAGAGTAAAATGTAGTGTTCTAACATTTATAAATATTGTAATGGCATATAATACTAATAGTGAAAACAGTAATGCATGAATCCATTTTGATTGTTCAGAGCAATTAAGATCAACACCAAGTTGATGTTCTGAAAGCACATGTGCAATGGATCCTATAATATACAGCACTGCTCTTACTATAACATATGTTACTACAACATAAGCAATGAAAATATTTTTGAACTAGATATTAATAGAGATCTAGAAAATCATTTTGAAGTAGAGATTAATATGAAGCAAATGTCTTAAAAAAACATAGTGAGATACTACATTAATCAAGTGGCTAGGATGATAGGACAAATAAACTACTTTCTCTAGGTTTGTAACTTTTTTGTAAACATTAATTTAAACTGGGAAAATACTTGAAATGAAGAGGATACTTGAATCCTAGCAGCAAAGCCCAGCACCAAAAGGTAAATTCTTAGTTGTTTCTGATGAAGATGTATATAAACAAAATAGTAATGATGAACACATGTAAATTTAAAATTGCAGAGTTTGAGAAAAATGTACATGCTCCAAACTGAAATAAAAAGTCATTTGGAAGATAACTCATATTTGTGCTCAACAGCGCAAAACACTGAACAGATCTTTGCTCAGAATTGTCTTAACAGGATTTATCACATTATGCAAAATATGCCATAATTGTATATCACTGCACAAAGATGAAATGCAGTGGAATGAAGATTTAGAAATGAAGTATTTCATCAAACATTGTTTAGTTTTTTAAGTTTAAAAATCTTATGAAGCCCACATTGAGGACATCATGAATTATTATAGTTTATCAGTAGCACTTACATCAGGACCCTTTTTTTAGTCATGTTTTTGTTTTACTAATGGTGTGCATTAATACTGTGCTCATTCACATAATGATGTTTTCCTCATCCTTGTAGAATGTTTTATGCTTTCATTATGGTTGTCCAAATTATTATGTGGAGATCAAAGGGCAAAGGGAACGGTTATTCATAGACTCTGCATAGGTATGAGCAGTCAGATTGTCTACTACTGGATTAATGTTATTTAGCACCAACCAGTGCAGTTACTCTTGCCAAATAGCAGGTGAGTTTAATTTGCTAACATTGCAATATAATTAATGTAAGCTTGTCACCCCCTCGACTTAATCAGACAAAGTGTGTTGAAAGAGCTGTATCGTAATGCATAAATAATGCATGTTTAGCTTTTAATTAAGGAATGAGCAGAGACGGCAGCGATACATCCTGCCTTGCCTGTAGGCTGTCCTGCCAGTGTGGGATGTTTGTGTGCAGACAATCACAGCTGGTGTGGTCTCTTCCAGGTATGGGATTTTTGAGCGCTGCCGAGAGCTGGTGGAAGCTGGATATGACGTCAGGCAGCCAGACAAAGAAAACGTCACTCTTCTTCACTGGGCAGCCATTAATAACAGAATAGATCTTGTAAAGTAAGTGATGAAGAGCATGTCATTACAAGTCGAGTGCCTTTTTTCAGATGTAACTTGTCAAGATTTTACAAAATTTGGATACTAAAATATTCATGAATTTCTTTTTTTTGCTGAGAAGGTTGTGCAATATTTCCTTTTTAAGTGCTCGTGTCTTTAGCCTTATCATGTGTTGTGGAAGACTATTTACTATTAACACTGCTTTTCTTTGGTTTTCACTAGAGAAGTTAGAAAAAAGCGCTAATGTTTAAGTGTAATCTTATTTCTGAAAGCTTTTTCAGTGCTTAAAGGTTTTATAATTCCTTTGTATAGCACTGCAAAAAAGCCCCCTTTCAAATTTGCGTTTTATTGTAAAATTAGCAGTTGTTTTTTGTAATAGTAACTGCCACTTTGGAATTTCACTAAATTAAATTCCACTTAAGCCAGGATTATAGGAGAGGCATGTCCCTCACTAGGGTCACTGTGAGTCTACAAGTGCCTCAGAATTAGAAGTGTGTGTTTTGCTGGTAGATGAGAGCAGTTTGGCCATTTCATCCCAATACTGCCCCCAGTGGCACTGAGCTGGTTTTGTGCCTATGATTGGGAAAACCAAGTCATCCAGAATTTGGTCTCAAACGCACAATGTCTGTTTCCCATTGCCCGTTAATGTCAATTTCCAACAGTTTAATGCCCCATATAATCCTAATGTTAACCTCTTGCAGTCCCCCCCCCTCCTTTACAGTCATTGATGTAATGTTGCTTTTCGTGTTAAAAGGTATTGGCGGGACTCTGATTAGAAATTATTGTTCATACAGATATTACATATCAAAGGGTGCCATCGTGGATCAGCTTGGAGGAGATCTCAATTCAACACCACTTCACTGGGCTACAAGGTACAGTCAAGCTTCCACATGATTTGGACAGGGGGCTTATATTATTTGTATCAAATTTCACCTTGGCTATTTATAAGTTATTGATCAAATACTAGTTAATTGTGCAAGTCTGACAGCAAATTTTGGCTGAAGGAACACTCATTATTTTTAGTTAAATCCTTACATGTCAAACCGCCATCATGTATTAATAGTGTTGCTGTGCCCCAATTTAGAAACATGCTTTAGAAAAAAAAATCTGCCTTCAAAGTGCAGTACAATATAGACATTTTGTAGCCTTTATATTTTAGAAAGACCCTTATCTCTTTAATGACAGAGTGCACTACAGGTTTTTCTTTGCTTTCTACACATACATTTTTTACGACCCCAAGTGTCTAAGGATAAAGGGGTGTAACATTTAGGATAATTTTTGGAAGCAGGTGGGTTTTGGTGAGGGACTAGGAAGCGTGATAACAAGGGTAAGGAACTAGAGTGGTGAGGAAAGAAAATAACAAACAAAATGGAGCTGGCTAGGACAGTGAGGGAAAGCTAATCTGACTACAAAAGAAAACCCGAATCACACGGTCTTCGGTGTCTTCAACACCCTAGCTAACCTGCACTGACTACCCAAAACCATACAAGACAAATGGCACTCACCCGTATTAAACTAGTGTACTAATACAAAATCAACAAAGTGTGTAAAGTGTACCCCAACAACCGAAACTAACCTTATATACAAAAGTTCACACAAAACACAAGTGAACCAGGAATACAAATAAGGGAAAACAAGAGTAAACAACAGGAACAGGGTACAAAAGAACACAAAGGTTGAACATGTAACACGTTAGGGCAAGGTAATGACAAAACAAGGATGAACACACAAACAAATGAAAGTACAAAGAAACTAATGTAAATCCAACAAAACAACAAAGCCGAAGCTATACGAAAATACACACACACAAAGCAAAACAAACCAACAAACGAAGCCGAAGCAATAACCCGAAGCGTAGCGATAACCAAAACCAAATGGGACCGAAGTCAAACGAAAGGCCTCTCCTTGCTGAAAACCTCCATATTATATGCTGAATAAGATGTGTTCTGATTGGCTGAGAGCTAATTGATGACGACATCATACTGAAAAAGTGGTGTGATGGTGGGCCAATGGGGAAGGGAGAACAATCAAGGGTCAGCAGTGTGGACATAACAGAAAAAACACACACAGAACACACACTGGGACATAACACCTTACACATTTAACACATACACATTGATATAATGCTTTAACACATTTAAAGCATTATATCAATAAAGTCTGCAGTCTTTAGTTTAAAACAGGTAATGGCAGTTAGCAGTTTGTGGCAGTACCGGTTCTTCGGCTGACAGGTGGCAGGTGCGGAGTGCAAGTCAGGCGATGCTCAGGCTTGGGTTCTCTCCAGACAGGGACACTTGTCCATGGTGGTGCAGCTGCTGAAGTATGGAGCAGACCCGTCCCTCATCGATGGGGAAGGCTGCAGCTGCATTCACCTGGCCGCTCAGTTTGGACACACTTCCATTGTTGCATATTTCATTGCCAAGGGCCAGGTAAGTGCAGGCATAATCAGCGGTGGTGGCAAACCCTTGCATGTTTACTGTGAGAAATACACGAGCTTCATGTGGCTGAAAATAAGTCATTTGTTAGAGAAATCTAATTGCCTAATCTAAGTGCCTTTACAGATAGAATTCCTCACTGCATTTTGTAAAGCACTTAGTATACATTCATGTTTTTATTTTGTGCTATGTGATTATATATATTGAAATGCATCTACAATTATTATGTATAATCCAGAGAGAGTTTATTCCAATTGCCTGTATCATTTTCTGCCGTTTTCCTGAGTGATATATTAAGATGTTACATGCATTTTAAACACTTGATCAGAAACAAGGCTCTCGGTTTCTCACTACACACAGAGTGAGAAAAGAGAGAGTATTTACAGGAGTTTTTCATGTTTTTCTGCTTAACCATCCCTCCTATACCCATCCTGATAATTTATTCACCTGCTCAATCATGTGTTATATGTAGAGTTGTATATTGTTTGCAGGGAAGGCTTGGGAGATGGAACTGATATCAGAGTCTTTGTTTTCTGTGTTTTTTCTGTTGCAGTGGGGGAAGTCAGTTATTGATCAGTATGCTGCACCAAGTTAACTCAAATAAAAGTGAGGGTTTCTTTTCTTGGTGCATTTTGCAGCCAAAATCCCAAAAATGAACATGTATCGCAACTAATGACATTAGTAGAAAAAATGTACTTTTGAACCCACAGCAGATAAAGATAATCTTTTATCTTTACACAACTCAAGCACACATTTTAAAATATGTATTGAATTATAAGTGTAGCAAAAGACTGAAGGTGTGTTTAGGTGTGTTTAAATTAATTTAGGAGGCTGCTGTAGATATTTTATGGTACATCACTAGATGGCGCCATACTTCATTTATTTATCTAGTAGAATGAAATTCCTTGTGAAACATAAGATCTGATTTTTCCATCCTCTCTCATCCATTCTCCATTTTTTAGTATATTTTGCGGTGGGCTCTGCTGCTTGTGCAAAAAAACTACATTTTTTTTTATAACTTGTTGGTGTACCTTTAAACAAATTATAGTAATTAGAGAATGAAAGCCCAGTTCCGAGTAAAATGCCTGTGAGAAGTAATTTCCTTCTCAGCCCTGCTGACCACAGTTGTTCTTTTTTTTTTTCAAAGGATGTGGACATGATGGATCAGAACGGTATGACACCATTGATGTGGGCAGCCTACAGGACACACAGGTTAGCGAATTCTCCTTTCAAATAAATTAAAGGGCATTTATTCACACCAAAAGGAGGTACTCACTAAAGAGTGATTGAAGACATGCTATGTACTTTTGAGAGTACTTTTTTTGCAGTATTTTTTTTGGGAACTTTAATTTCGTTACAGAACCTCAGCCTAATAGAGACTGCTGCAACAGCCGCAAGGCAACTCACAAGATCATGTCGGGAAGCAATTAGCTGGCTTCTTTTAATTTAAGTGGAAATGTTCTGTTTGGGCAGAACATGTCAATGTGACCTAGAAAAATCTTATTCGTTAACAAACCTAAACATGTATGTCTATACGTACATACATTTCAGTACCAGAAAGACTGATCACTGCAGCAGTTTTACAAACTGGAATTGGACATTGTGGGTTAATTTACTGAATTCAGTCTGTAGTATTCCTGTAAATTAGTCATCTGTCATCAAACAGAACAAAAATGTGTAACTGAGTGGTAGATAAGAGGAACTGTTAGACGACAACTCTGTTTTGCAATGGTCTTCAGGCAATACAATAAGGTTCTTGAAACTGATCTTGGTACCCGATAACATGGTAGATTATATAATGATAAAACTACATTATATAATAGTTATGATGTATTGTGTAAATACAGAACAAATAGTCCCCCACAGCATTCATCTATTAAATCGTTTCCATGTGAATATTGTCACCTGGGTAACTTTTAGCTCAGGATACTGTTTTCAAACTGCCCAGCTGCCTCCTGCATTTTCAGCCATGTAGTCTCTGCAAATTCTCTACACACCTATGGCAGTCCTCATGACTAGCATGTAGCTTTTAATCAGGCAGTGGGGTATTTGCCTCACCAAACACTGGAACAGACCTTTATATACTGTTTGGGCATAAGCATTATAGTATTTGTTTATCGGCAAAGGGTGTCCAGTTGGTTAGGTGTGTTCTTAAGATCAAGGACAATGAGTAAATGTTAGCATTGGTGGTTCCAAGATGAAAATCTATTGTAATGTTTTTTTACAAGAAATCTGTCCTTTCCTCTAAAGAAAAAAATCCTTTTCATAGAAGGGTATTCAGAGATTCTGTTTGAACACTCTTAGAGGCATTTACAGGTGACAGGCTTTTTGGCATTCAGCTCCTGCAATGCTGAAATCTTGGAAGATTAGAGGCCAAAAAAGTAATTGAAATTCAGGATTCCTCTTCTCAGTGTTGCAAGAAAAAACACCGTTGCAAGAGTGTTTTCTTGATTCTTGTATGGGCCTGCAGAAGCAAATGACACTCCATAACACTTTTTTTCAACATGAAGGGCTTAGAGGTCTCCTTGTGCAAGCTCTTTGCAGGCAGCTAAACCACTTTGATCCTATGATCATTTCCTACAAATGAAACTGCAGTGAAGTATCTGAACAGTTATAATGTGGTACAGGGAAACCTAAGGAGAAGACTTTTATGTTAAATTTAACGGTGGACAACATAGCCTGCTGACTCAACACCTTATAGGGATTGCCAGTCTATTGGAAAAATGTGAAAATGCAGAGAGCCTCATTATATTTCCTGTCGTACAAAATGGCTTTGTGGGTCAATTTTGTACATGATTTTTAAAGCTGTTATTTTCAGATGAACTTAATTTCAGTTTAGATTTTGTTGTTTATACCAGTAACTATATATGTTATAAAATACAGAAAAAATGATTCTCTGAGTGGCGCTGTAATCACAGAGTGTATATTATTGCAAGGCATAAGTAATTTGTAAGAGGTATGTAAAACTGATGACCATTTTTTTGGTAATGGAATTAGTTTTGAAAGTAAATTTTATTACCCTTTGTTTTGTGTTGTAATAGTTGTATGAGAAAATGATTTGTGTTACACAAGTGTGAAGTCTTGAATTGTGCTGATCTGCAGCGTGGACCCCACTCGACTATTACTCACATTCAATGTGTCAGTGAACCTTGGAGACAAATATCACAAGAATACAGCTCTGCACTGGGCTGTGCTGGCTGGGAACACAACAGTTATTAGCCTGCTTCTGGAGGCAGGTGCCAATGTGGATGCACAAAATATCAAGGTAAGCAGCCCCCATCCCGCAGAGTGAAACTTAAGCTATTGAATTGCATTTTTACCTGCTTTTTATGGTGCTGTACTGTATGTAAAAATGTTTCGAATAATAATTTGGTGTTGAATATTAAACATTTAAATTGTGCCTTTCCAAGTCAAGGCTGCTGTATAAATGATGAAAAATACAATAAAAACAAACATAAAAGGCCAACTGTAACACAGTAAGGCATGGACACAGTGAAAACGTGAGATTTAAGGTTGGATTTAAAAACAGTCAAAGGCTCGGAATTTGAATTGGAATGGTCGCTAGAAGGGTATTCCATAAAAATGGAGCAGCAGCAAAGAAAATACAGTAATTAAAAGTAATATTTAGTCCTAGGACCAATGAGCTGTGGATCTATGTATACATAAAGGAGTTCAGAAATGTATGATGGAGCCAAATTATTCATAGTCTTGTAAATTAGTAACTGGATCTTGTAAGATCTTGTGTCTTAATTGTAAAAATAGCAGTAAGGAGTTACATCATTTCTTGTTCGCTTATGCGGACATGAAAGTATAAGTGAACTTTAGCACCAATCTTTAGTACCAGTGATTAAAGGCTTTGTAGTTTAAGGAAAATTAAAGGTGAAAATGGTTCTGAATGCAATCTGATAAAAATATGCTAATGAATTAAGAGTTAAAAGTATTTATGTTTCCTAACTGGGCATACAAAACTGTTCTTCTGCTTTTGATTAGTGGCCAAATGATAATGTATCAAGATGGAATGCAAAGCAGTTCATTGAATGCTTTGCAATATGCTAACCACCACTGCTAAAAATGCCAGGATCTGCAGCTTTAACAGCAGTGTAGATGTAACAGTAAAAAGGTTGTTACAGTTAGATTGTTGCTTGGATATTGGAATAAAAATAGCACTGGTACATTGAGGTCTTTTTCTATTTACACAGGGCGAAACACCATTAGATCTGGCCAAGCAGAGAAAAAATGTCTGGATGATTAACCATTTACAGGAAGCAAGACAGGCGAAAGGCTACGACAGTCCTTCATTCTTAAAGAGGCTGAAAGCCGACAAGGTAAAAATAAATGATCCTGTTGAGCCCAGTGTAGATGTTCTGAGCATCTCCAGTGCAGGAGGGAGTGGGGATTGATAGTCTCTAGCGTGAGTCCTGCGTTTAATACTAATGCTTAAATATGTCATCTGCCTCACAGCCCTCTACTAGAGCCACAAACCCATTTTGATTTAGAGTGTCATCTCCCCTAAATTCCGAGTCAACTAGCAAAAATGTAATAGATTCTGACATTTTATTTTTATTATAATTTATTAAATATTTTATTACATAGAGGAATCATATTTATAAGCACATGTACATAATGTACATAACAAAATGATTACAGTTCCCTCCCAAAGTATTTAACAGTCAAGCAACTTGTATATAATTTAGTACAATATTTTAAAAAATATATTTTTGGGTAAGTCAACGCATACATTTGATAGAGCAACAAAATATGACCTGTTTTCAATGGAGTGACTTCCATTTGGGTAACCATAAGTATTGTGATTCCTTCACTTGGAGGTATCTGCCTTTGAGGCAATAACTGCCTTTGCAGTGCAACTACTCTGGATTCTTGCCTGTTCTTGGGATGTTGTGATTTTTTTCTTCATATGACTTTAATTGAATATTTTTTTGCTATGCTGCTTGTTAGTCACTTATCCAACCCATGTTTGTAAACGCCTAACATAAAAGCACTTGTTCATATATTTCATTTGGGATATTTTTGTTAGTGTAATGTTTCTTGTACAAGGGGTTCCAATACATGTTGGGGTTACGGACCAGAAAGTCACTATTTTTAAATGATGCGTATAGAGGAATTTTCCCCCATTTGAGTAATATGGGGGTATACATGTGCATAGATAGGGTGTTAATACAGTATGTGCTGGCACTGTAATAACACAATAAACTTTGCTCGTTTGACTTAAGAATAGGGAGGATTTTCCCATAAGAATCAATGAAATAGAGTACAGTTAGGGACAATGAGTTAGATTAAGTGTGTGTTTGTCTTGTGGTTAATTCCAATAAAGTACATTACTGTACTTGTACACTAACATTTTTAAACCATTTTTGGTCTGTCATTCACTTCACTCTTAATTTACCAAAATATTTTAACCCTCTTTACCCTTGGTCTGATCTCTTTAACTGTTGTTCTCTGATTACCTTGTTCTGTTTTTTAACTTTTAATTTAACAGGAATTTCGGCAGAAAGTGATGCTTGGAACTCCGTTTTTGGTCATATGGCTTGTGGGTTTCATTGCTGACTTAGACATTGACTCTTGGCTCATCAAAGGGTTAATGTATGGAGCTGTGTGGGTTACTGTGCAGTTTCTTTCAAAGTAAGTATTTTGCAGAAAAAACATTTTTTCAGATGTCCGTGGTAGAAATTAGTTTGGTAAATAGGTAGTTTGGTAAATATTAAGAATTTGTGAGAATGTCCTTGTACTCTTCCGTTGCCTAAGTAAAGCTTTACAAAACTGGCCCAATGTATATGATCAAATAAGGACGGTGATGCATTAAGATAAAATGAAAAACCCAGCACCCCTTTAGAGTACCAGATAGCACACTTCTGGTAATCAGGAATGAAAACATGTGGAACAATTGGTTTCTTTGTTAATCTGTGAGATGGCAGATCAAATACAAGGCATAAACCTATAATATTTAACAAATGCTTATAACCCTTAAGTACACACATAAAAACTGGTATTGACAAATAATTTACAAAGACTGCAAGTCTCTGAATCCTGGCTTACTAAAGGCCCAGGTTACACTCACTCATCCCCTCAAAGGTGGACCATCCTTATTGTAGTGAAAAAGAGATACAGAACCTTAGGGAGGTAATGTTGGTTTCTCGACAGGAGAAGACCCTGCACAGGGTAGTCAATCTTCTAAAACTGATATAAATAAATACAATAAATGATGTCCTGGTCCTGGTTCTAAGAGTAATGCTGGAGCTCTGGATCAACTCCCCTTGTTCAGACTTGTGTTCAAACACAACTCCTATATTACTAGTGGGTCTTCTTGGACTGGCCACTCACCTCTCAGTTTGCTGTTTTGTTACCTAGCTTAGGCATCTTCCACACGGGTTTCCAGCTAATTGTACCTCCTCCTCCTAGGCAAAACGCTCACTATATGTGGCCAGGGACAAACTGTCCTACTGCCACTCACTGCTTAGGCCGTCCCACTGCTGTAGTTTGTGGTGCAGGCTCAGTTTTTTCTCAATTTTGTTTATTAAATATTGGCAAGTGCAAGTTCTGTTTTTCAAGTTTGATGGACATTAACAAAAACAGAACAGACTGAGAGCTCTTGAATAAAAGCTGGCTATAAGGTGACTATGCATTTTGAGTCAAACTCAGAGGTGTACATGTTAAATAAATGAAATCAGTTTTGCTTATAATATTAAAGAAATGTGCTTGGGGGAGGGTGTACCACAGAGTTTTTATTTTTATTTGCGGATTGTGTTGTGGAATGCTGTGCTCGAGTATTGGTGGATAGCTGCAGGGGACAATCTAAATTGCTTCCCGAAATAGGCTCTTTAAACTGCTTGTGGTAGGTTTGCTCCATAAAGTTATGGGTAGGAACCACGGGGGGGCGACAGAGGTTGCAAACCTGTTGAAGTCATGTGGCCCATGCAGCTCGTTTGGTTGCTTGTCACTAATTGTTCCAAGGATTTCATTCAATCTGTTTTATGAAGCCGGATTATCAGCTTCAACACATTTTCATGTTCCTCCTTTAATGCAGCGAGGTAGCTGCATACAACTTTTGAGATTGCTTGATTGTTTGTTTGTATGTATGATAAACCTTCATTTCGTCTACCCTCAGGTCTTTCTTTGACCACTCAATGCACAGTGCGCTGCCTCTCGGAATTTACCTGGCCACAAAGTTCTGGATGTACGTGACATGGTTCTTCTGGTTCTGGAATGATATCCTTTTCAATGTAGCTCTCTCTCACCCTTTCCTGCTTATTTTCCATTTGTGAGTCTCCTTAGTAGTTTTAATATTTGACAAATAATTTGTATTCTTAGCAGATGACAAACAAGTCTATTACCTCCAATATAAAATGACAGATGCCTCACTGAGTATCATTGCACTGCTTTTTCTAAGTCTTCAGAATTCAGTTTGTGACTTTTTTGTCTTACATTATTTCCTTTTTGAAATTAATGATACATTAGGACGTTGAGTGTTAAAAACATTTAACCCTAGAAGAATGGGGTGCTTGACCTATTATCACTAGATACATGTTTATTAATCATAAATCAGGATTAAAAAGGAACAAATGTGTTCGAAATTTTGTATCTGTCTTGATGACTATAAATTAACCATCATGATATTATAATACTTTGGAATGATTTGCAAACTTTTTTTTTTTACTTCTTGAAATAGTGTTGTCCTGCACTAATTTATCAAACATGAACCATATGGACCATAGCTACATAGCAATACTATTCTTCACATTCCTTGAATAACAGTTTTGTCTCCACAACCCTTGTTTCGCAGTTTAGTTTTGGTATAATTCACAAAGGAAGTTTGGTTATCTGGTCATATCACATTAAACAATTACCTCATACTTTTGAATGTTATACAAAAAAGATGCTCCTTAGATATACAAAAACTAATCCATTCCTTTCACCTGATCTTTGTTATAGATGTTTTACCATTTTAACAGTTTAGAGACTTTTAGTGTTACATTGTTACCTTTTCCAAAAATCTGTTTTCAGCAAGTTTTTTTTAAATTGTTTTTGATATGTTTTAAGTTGAAGTGACCCATGGCTTTTCTAAGACTATTTGGCTGTGCCTGAAGAACAGCATTGAGCTTTACTGAGTTTGTCAGGTCTATTAAGGTTACGTTCTCTTTCAAAGATAAACTTTTGTGAGGTTCGTTTTTATTGGTTTCTAAAGTGCTTCTGAAGTCAAAAGTGACACCTCCTTGAATTTGCACACCTGTAGTACATGGTATGTCTTATATGAAGTAGAACAGACCGAAGTTGATCATTGTTTCTCCCTAATCTTGGCTCGTGTTTTTGGGATATTCTTCAAAACATTCTTTTTTTAATTTTATTGAAATCCTAACCTTATTAGTTGTGGATCTGCACACCTACAAATAATTCAAACAAATAGAGTGATTTTATCACTGAACATTGTTCCCAGAGTATCATGCATGCTCAGGCTGTATTATTTAAGCCTGAGGATCATAGTCTACTTTTTTAGGGGGGGTGTTGGTGTGATTTGGGTCAGATGTTTCTGAACAATGCTAAACCAGAATTTAAAAAAATGTTTTCTGTTGTATTTAACATGCATGCCCAAAAAGCAAAACTTTATGCTAAGATAAAACACAAGCATTCCAAAAAAATATAAAAATCACTAGCTACTATACATCTGTTAGTGTAAATTGTTCTGTTAGTGTAAATTGTTTTCTCTGTCACATACTGATTGCTTTTTAAGACTTATATTAATTTGTATGTTGTAATATGAACAATAAAAAAGAATATTACAAGGATGTAACATCTGAACAATAATAGTACTATATACGTATTCAGTACTGATTACTCTATACATTTGTAAAATTCTTATATTACACAAGCCACACATTAGAAGCTGTGTGAGAGATTCATGTCTCTATTCACTGGTAATGAAAAGCAGAAGTATGGCTTCTGAAGAAGCAGTAGAATGGGTGAAAAGACAACTAGGTACTTGGAGTACTGTAATATTTAAAATCATTCTGAACTTTAGGAAACCAGTTACTGTTTGAGGTATGTATTTGTTGAATATCTCATTAGTAAGATGCAGCGGGGATTTAAATTGTGGTGAATACATACTGGTGATTTCTATTCTGTTTAATTGCTAGATGCCTTTTCTGCTGGATCTCTTGGCATTGTACTTTTACACACTTAGAAATGTCTAAATCAAGGAACCAAGAAGTAGTCTTCAGTTGATATACTGCTACGTAATATAAAGTATTCCAGAGCACTATTAATGTAACAATACTGGTTTTGTTTCTTAAGAGCAATAGTAAATAGAGGGAGGATTGCTAATTGAAACTAAAATGTAGTTGATTGGTCCTGAAAAAACTAGAAGCCTTATTTCATAAGTGAATGTCTGCCCAAGCTTGCCGGGCTCGGGACATCTCAAATCTTCCATATTTGTTATGCAATGCAAATGTGTTAATTAAATACTTGTAAATACCCATTCGAGGCTTATTTAACCAATAAAACCTTTGCTGAAACATTTTTAAGTACTGAAGATTAAGAAAGGCTTTATGATTTTACTGCCCTAAAGATATTGCATTGCTTAACCATGAATATTATTATGTGCACAAGAGATTAACTGTTGCTGGCCAGATCTGTGCTGTGGCCAGGGTTCACATTTATAATATAAGTACAGTGGAAGACAAGATTATGTAATGGATTTACAAAAAAGTAAGGGATTATCATAATAAAATGTGTTTGGGTTTACTGGGTGCATCCTTGACTGTGGGCAGCTGTTGGGTGTGTGATTAGACTTCCTATAGCCTTTTCCCTTCCTTTGGGTTGTAGTTCAAAGACACTTTAGGCAGTACAGGAAGAAAATGTTGCTTTTTTTTTTCTTTGACTTTTGGCTACGGAAAAGTCTGTTATTGTTTGGAAGCAACACCGTGCAATAACCTTAACCCTTCATTGGTATTCATGGGTATTCATCACTTTAATACCCACAAGGCTGCTTCTATAAGTAGTTTTCTTATGTTTTACTGAAGCATCATAACAGGTCTGATGAAGGACTAAAGTTTTCATAGTACTTAGCACTCAAATACACATTTTACTTTTTGATTTTTAGTGAAGTCAAAAATCTTGTAGTATAATTACATGCAGTAAGCCTGGTCTTGTTCTTAAAAATGTTTGATGTAGTGTTTCATACAATCTGGTCAATTTAGTCGAGATAAGATTCTTTGCTGAATTATAGTAGTAATGTTAATGAAGGAAAAAAGTAAAAACATATCAGCACTTACATAACTTTGTTGTCCACGACATCATTCATGTTTTCTGAGATGCCACTTTGATATAAATTTGCAGAAGGTTGTGTTTTGCCAGTGAACAACATTTTAGCAGAGTCGTGCTGATTACAAAATGTTTATAGTCTTACATCTGTGTAAGTGGTAATCTATTTTACTAGATGCACTTGAATAGTGTCTTGAGACCCAAATATTTATTCTGTCTTTTCACTGTCTGTTAGCCTTTGTATGTAATTGACATTCAGAAATCAAACAAGATACTGTAGTCAATTTGCCATTTACCCTTAATTTCCTGAAATTTGATTTCTGACAGTTTACTGAGCTGCACAATTGGAACAACACTGGCACCACCAACAACTTCAGTAATACATTAGTTTCTAACTTGTGCAGTCGTAATGGTAATATTCATCATTTTTTATACAACCATATTTGGAAAATCATATCTCAGAATTCTTCTCAAGAATAAAACAGAAAAATAATAGAAAGACTCCATAAAAATGCAAAAATAGTAGAAGCCAGAATATGAATAATTCCTTACACTTACATGTGTATATAGCTCTTTTTTGGACACTCAACTCAAAGCGCATAACAGGTAATGTGGACTCTCCTTCACCACTACCAATGTGCAGGATCCACCTGGGTGATGGAACGGCAGCCATAGTGCGCCAGAACGCTCACCACATATCAGCTATTAGTGTGCATGAGATGACAGTGATGAAGCCAGTTCATAAATGGGGATTATTAGGAGGCCATGATTGGGAAATATGGCCAAGATAACAGGGTAACACCCCAACTCCTTTCAAGAAACGCCCTAGGATTTTTAATAACCACAGAGAGTTTAAAATTTATGAAAACCAACAGTATTAAGTAGTTAACATTCCTTATATCCTTTGAAAAAAAGTGCAACAACCTAATTACAAAACAGGAGCATGCATTGCCACTGATTGATTGCCATTTAGTTTTAATTCTGCCAAGCAAGCCAGAATCTGTGGGACTGAAGACTGCATGGAAAGATCCCAAAGTGATAGGATTAATATTTTGGATAAAGTTGGTAAAATTGACTCTACTGGGAGCCAAAGCAGCAGGGCAGAAACTAGTTTACTGTGTTCTTAAGATTTTGTTTTACTCTATTTCAAATTTGAGTGTCTGAGTGCTTAACATATTGCATATCAAAGATCCCTTTCGTGACAGATTGGGGTCAAAAATAACATCAAGATTCTCTAGCTTTGCTTTTTAAAATTTTTGCTTTTTTATGGGGCTGACATGTAATAGTGATCAGCATTACATCAGTTTATTGGGATTCAGTTGTAAAAAAGGTGTCTTGTTGAGATATACAGTGCCGTGAAAAAGTATTTGCCCTGATTTCCTCTGCTATTGCATATTTGTCACACTGGATGTTTTCAGATCTTTAGACAAAATCTAATATTAGATGAAGGGAACCTGAATAACACTTTTTTATTATTGTTTCATTTATTTAATGAACAAAGTTATCCAACACCAACTGGCACTGTGTGAAAAAGTAATTGTACCAATTCATCATCCACAGAGATAGAGATATGGCTGAATCTATATCAGGAATTGTTTGGGTATCATTAGCAAAGAAATGAAAGTGGATTATGTACCTAGAAAAAATATGACCTGATGTCAATGTTAAGATAGTTTAGGTACTGAACAAACTCAGCTCTAAGACCTAGTGATTTGACGAGCTCCTCTTTTGAGGACAGGTGTTATAACCATATTTTTAGGAAATGTCTTTTTTAAAAACTCCCTTTCTGGTAAGGATTTAAGCCAAGAGAGAGCTATCTTGTACCCACAACGACTTCTGTTCTACTTGATGTATGATCAGTAATTGGCTGTTTCTGTACTGTAATGTGTGTGTAGAGATTGTTAGTAGTTAAATTACTACAGTATGTAGTCTATGTACAACAACATGTTATGAACCTTTGCCAAAATAATTAATAAGAATTTGGTCTACTTGGAGAATTGGGATTCAGTTTTTGTTTTCACTGCTTTGGATACATGTTGACAATTGCTAGGTGTGAGCTGTCTGATTTGTTTGATTTTTGTTGTAGTTTCGGAACATTTAGATATTGTATTCCTTTTAAGCCTGTGTTTGAACTTTGAGAAGACATCTTATATTCATCCCAGCATGTCTTTTTGTTTCATAACTAATCTTTTGACATGAAAGATTATTACAAGCCGTGGCAAAAATCATTTTTCTTGTAAATCAGTGTGGACAGAAGGAATTTGGATTTTTTTTTACTTGGCTGCAATGGGGCAGGTTGCAGTTAGGGTTTTACTTGATATATCAGCTAGTAAGAATCAGTGTTTTGAAACTTTCAAAACAGACATTTAACATTAGAATATTATCTGTGTGATCTTGGAGATCAACAGACTTTAACTTTTTAAATCTTTATGCTTTTACTAATGTGTTTTAAGTATGTCTTTTGCTGTCCAGTCCATAAATTCCCATTACATGGTGTGATCATAGAATATGTATTGATTTGCTGCAGCAGTTTGGGCTGAAGTTATCAGTCCCTTTCAGGATCCTATCTTTAAGCCATGTATTTTGTTGAAAGTCAAAAACTAATAAACAGCTGCTTTACATCAGCTGTTTGTCTTTCCAAATTGCCCTTCCCCCTATCATTTCTGTAGCCAAAGCTTACATCAGAAATCTGATAATTATTTCTTTTATTTTTTTTTAGCTTAAGCAAGCAGTGCTCTTTGCTGTCCATTTTAATTGTATCACTTTTAAAGTATGTATTGTGTCACTGTGTAAGCCTCACTCACCTATTCTGTTAATATAATTTAACAGGGAGGGTGGTGAAAGAGCATTATTTATTGCAAATAACTGGCTACACAGTACATCAGGTGAAGTGAGAAATCATTTTACTAATTGAATTGAAATGGAAATTTAGAAGATTGCATGAGTCCAGAGTAAAATTTAACCCAGACACAGCTTATTACACCCCTTCTCTTTCAGATACCGCCTTTGTTTTTGTGTCTCCAAAGGATGACACTTCTTACAGAATGGTGTGCCCCGTCACCATGCTGGGGCATTGGTTTGGAAATTCTGGACCTGAAGGAAAAGTGCCACCTACTGGTCCACAAACACCACAGCAGTGGTTTTCATAGAGGTCTTCCATCCCAGTACTGTCCAGACCCAGGTTGTTCCTGAAATCTGACAAGATTAGTCTGCAAGGACTATGTCCATTAACTTGAGCTGTTGGGCAAAAATATTTTAGAATAGTTTCACTATGCACTTTTGTTTCATTGATCTTTGTGTTATCTTAGATTTATGATTCATATGCTATAAAAAGAAATGGACATTGTGGAATTAAAATGGCCCTGGAGTCAGATCACTTATTCCACTCCAACTATGTTTTGTGGCAAAATGACATTTCTCTGAACATGTCTCTTAACATGACTCAGTGCTTAATGTTTCTTGGTAGTACGGCATATCTTGATGTCACCAGCAGACATGAAGTCATATTATACATTGTTATGGGCAGGTTTTGTCTGTCTGGATTATTAGGTCATAATCCAGAGAACCATAACATGTGAACTGACTGCTCTGAACTGAACTCGGGCCGGGGTAAGTTCACAGAGGTAAACTTCATGAGTAAATTCACTTACTCATGGGATGAAACTCAAAATGTTTCATCTTAACGTGTGGGGAAGATTGCTTCTTATTGCTTTTCTTTCTATATATTTAAATAAATCAAAAATGCACTGAAATGCTCTGATTCCTGGAAACATTCTCTTTCTAGTTTTTCAATTCATGCTTGTATTTTTTAAATTGTTTTAAAACGGAATATCTTCCTGAAGTACTGAATTATTTCTTTAACATTGGAACACAAAAATTATACTGGAATTTAGATATTTTAAATGTTAATCTGTGTAAAATAAAATCTTCAGGAAGTATTCTTGTGAAGAATTAAGGTAAAGCACTAAATCGTGGAAGTTGCGTGTAGAAATATTTGTAAAATTAAGAGAGAAAATCAATGGTTAATGCAGTATGAAATAAAATATCTTTAAAATCAAAAGATGTAGTTGTGCCTCAGTCAGCAAAAGGTGCAATAAGTAATTAAAAACATTTTCATATAAACACAAGATGGAGCAAATAAAAAACTGTTAAATTCCCTTTCAGCTGAAGCTTGGTCTGTTTCATCAATTTGTGAAAACAGCAGCATAGTCTCTGCATTGACTGGCTTCCTGTCATTTACAAGGGTCTGTGAAATTTGTCTTTACCCTGTGATATTGTGTTTGGCAAAGAGTAGAAGCTGCAGAAGAAGGGTTTTCCCCTAAGGTATTCTGGAAAAGGCCCAAGTCTCTGTCTTCAGTCCATCATCTAAGAAAACGTGGAATGATTCCTTAATTCCTTGCACATCTTCCTTTTGTTACTATCCATATTCCATTCCTTCTGAACAGCATAGCGCTTTTCTACAATTTTGGAAAATCCTGGAAGTCAGATCCAGGAATAATAAAAGCTACAGAAGAACAGAAGAAAAAGGTAAAATTTAAGATTGTGCTTTTGTGTGTAGGACAAGTGTGATTATTCCATATTGGAGAAAAAGCACTCTAAAGCCCCTTGGATGTTAATTTTTGAAGGATTTTGCTAAACCTTTCTGTTGGAATGTTACTGTTTTCCACTGATCATACTATTCACTGTTCAGTAGGCAGAAACACAGTTTGATACTACACTTTCATTCTTTGACAATTTGACCTTTGACCCTTCACTATGCTTCAAGAACCTCTCATAAGTTGTTGACTTTCTGTCCCAATAGACTGTTTCAGGAGGTAGTTTGTTCTCCTAAACAATATATATACTGTACACAATACAGAAAAATTACAAACAAGTTGGTACTATTTAAACCCGAATAGCATATTGATCCAACTTCAAGATCCTGATAAGTCCTATACGTATTGAGGGAATTCCAGTGTTTATAAAAATAAATATGCATCCATCTTCAGTAGATAAAGTCAACAACCTAATTTAAGTCATATTATCATATGTTTCATAAACATTCTGTTAAAGAATTCTAACATGAATATGGTAGAATGCTCATGTGCTGGAATAACCTTTTGTTAGCTTTCTTTAGAAGCTCCATTGGGATGATGTCTGAATCTTATGTTTTTAAATGTAGTCCTGTCTTGTTCAAGCTGCATTTTAGCCTCACAGTTCAGCCATGCCTATCTGACATCAGTGTCTTGCCTTCTAATTGTGTGGAAGTGCATGATGATGTATTCAGGAAACACTTGGAGATGTTATGTAGAGATTTGCCACATTTCGTCTCGGTGATTAAGGCTTGTCATGATGTCAGACCTGTAGAATTTAATATAGCCCACCAATATAAATAGTGTTTTTCCATCTGAAATCAGTTCTCATCTAAGTGTTCAGTACACAAAAATACAATAATGAAACAGGCTGCAATGTTCAGCAGATATTAATTTGAAACCCTTAGATAACTTGATAAATTTCCATCTGCTTTCACCTTGCCTGTCTGGACTACATTTCATCAGGATAAGCCCTGCAGTTTGTATTCCTCTGTCTGGTCTCACAGAAAGTAGACATTAGGTTTGGAATATCCGGTGGTTTGCAGAACTATTTAGCAGTTATCCTGCATTTTCCATTTGTGTTTATATTGTAGTTCTTATTAAGTAACTAATAGTTATTTCTGCAGAGCAGAAAGCACAAGCAAATTAGACTAGAGTTCATTCACAACCCCCTCAATTAGCCCTGTTTGATAAGGGACATCTTTTTGTGAAATGTGTTTACATCTGAAGCCAACAAGTTTACAGCTTTTGTTTTTGTTTTTGTTTTTCATTTTAGACAATAGTTGAACTTGCAGAAACAGGCAGTCTGGATCTCAGCATATTCTGCAGTACCTGCTTGGTAAAGATACATTTCTTTACATTTAAGTATGTTTTTGGTAATTTAATGTGTTATACTTATTCTTTATTCACAACATAGGGACATGCTTTCTAATATGGCTATTAACTTCATTTTTTAAGTCAATTTGTAATTCTTTTTATTATGCAAAATTATGATAACTTGAATTGCACCATGTTACTCTTCATACGATTTTTAGCTAAAGCAATATATAAAGGTTTAATTGCATTCAGTCTGTGATAGACTCATCTCTGCTTTACATGTATATTGTTTAATTCAAGAGAGAAATAATACTGTCTTGCAAACTTTTGTCAGATACGGAAGCCTGTGAGGTCCAAGCATTGTGCGGTGTGTAACCGCTGTATTGCAAAGTTTGATCACCACTGTCCTTGGGTGGGCAACTGTGTGGGTAAGTGATCAGACATTGGAATTCTAGCAAATACCTAATAGTGTCACAGCTGTCTTGTATAATATACAGATCTTTTCTTTTTATGATTTTGCTAATTGCTTTTACTTTTTTTTTAAATGCTCTATTAATCTTAAATTCCCTTTTGAGTATCAGCAAGTAGCTTTATAAAACTAGTAAAGTTAGTTATTGACAATGTTATTGACAGTTGTCTGAGTAGTCTGTTTTACTAAAGATAAAATAGAAAATTGTACTGATTGTACACATTGTACTTATTATTTGAGTATAATAAAAATTATACTCAATGGGGATTTTAGGGGTAATGGGTCTAAGGATAAGTGAGCCATTTCGCACGTTAACACTTATCCATGTTGCATATTGCAAACTAAGGAGTTGAAGGGGTTTCTCATCTAGATTAAATGTTTTGTGTTATTCTAGATGTAGGAATCGAGATAGGGCAAGTATTTCCTGAGAGTATTGTCCTATACACTCTAGATGCAGGGAACTCCAGTTTTCTTGAAGTTTTTTTTTGTTTGGGCAGGTGTCCTTGGGAATTAGCTTGAAGGAAACAGGAAAGGTGAGGTAGTTTAATCTATTGGTTAGATAACTGAGGGAAGAGGCAGATGGCTGTTGGCTTGAATTCTTTTCTAATTAGATGTCTAAAGACTAGATTCTGGAATTGTCTACCTGTTTTGATGGGGTTTTATTCTTCTTGGAAAATAGGCTACACTACACTCTGGGAACAAGTTTGTTCAGACTATTGTCATTTTAAGGTTCTTCTCAAAGTGTGATATGGAATGCAGGACATCAGTGTTATATTACATTTTGATTTCAGAATTTAAACTTGAAATTTTCTAAACTCACATTCACATATTCTCTAACTCAAGAAGAACACAGCTGTGGATAATTTGATACCCATATTATTTGCTATAAGCGGTACTTTCTAAGCTTTTAATCTTGCAGATTCAGTTCATATACAGGTTTTCTTCTGAGGTTTTCACTTTATATTATCATATTCAATTTAAACCAGCCTAATAAAGTTTAATTCTTAAAGTCATTCAAGTCATACATACAAGTACTTTTGTCCTAATACTAAGGTTGTGGCCTTTTTATTGTTTACTCTGCCAGTCTGGATTAAATTTTACCACAGTCCTTACCTTTTACAGTGCCCCTTAAATTTTCACTTTTAATTTTATTTTTTAAAAACTGGCTGCTGTTTTTTTTACAAATGTTATTAGAGACTTAGTTTCTTTATACTCCTACATATGAGGTTATGAAAAGGCTCAGAAAGACTTCTGAACGGTTCTTGACTTATCTGTCTTCTCTTTATTTAGGAAGTGGAAACCACCGCTACTTCATTGGATATTTATTCTTCCTGCTCTGCATGATCTTCTGGATGATATATGGCTGTATCTGCTGTAAGTGGACTGATAAAATTAGCAGTTCATTTTCCCATGATTGATTATTCACCATATTATGCTGATGGAGCAAACAACATCTAAACTAAAAAAAAATGGTGCTGAGTTATGAGGTGCATATTTCTTCATTTGATGGTAGCTGAGCACCTTTCAAATGCTCTAACAGTTCTGTGGTTGGTGGGGCAATCAACATCGTACATTATCCAATCAAGACAGCATTTCTAAGCTGTTTTTTCCAAAATACCTTTTCTACATTTTCCCTCAGACTGGAGAATTCACTGTGCGACCAGTTACACAAAGGATGGCCTTTGGACATACATCACACAGATCGCCACTTGCTCACCATGGATGTTCTGGATGTTCCTGAACAGCATTTTCCATTTCATGTGGGTGGCTGTGCTCATCATGTGTCAGATGTACCAGGTGAGTCCAGTTCTAAAACTGTGTCCTAAACAGTGCACTTACTTTTCTTTTTGAAAGGAAAGTCCTCTACAGACCTGCAGCAGGATTTTTTAAAGTGGACAAGTTTACTTTTAAATGGATCTTGAGTGTATGTGTCACTACATCACTTATTAGAGGAAGCACACGCATAGATCTTTCAGGTGTTTCATCTCCAGTCCAAAATTTTTAACAGGTGCCTTGGTGTCAAATACCAGAAAAGTTTACTGAAAAGAATTCTTTGTGCAAAAATGTTTTTGCTTTTTAAATGTTTACGACTTTGGCCTTAAATATTGTATTTCTCCAGGGTAGGTTTGTGACATTGGCCTTTGAATCTCAAACAAATGCTGCTCTTCTTACTTTCATGCTTTTAGCATATTCAGAGCTCACTTTTTCGTAAGCCTTTTCACGTCTTTCAGCCACAGTAGTTTACAGTCCTCTTTGTTTGAGAACGTATTACATTCCTGGAAAAATGTTTTAGTCACATTGTTGACATGCTAAGTGATTAAACTCGTTTCCATTAATGTCACCTTGAGTGAGAGGCATCTGGCACTTTATTTATACTTGTGTCTATCTGGATTTTTTCCTCTTTTCTCTTTTTCTAGATTGCCTGCCTAGGTATAACTACAAATGAAAGGATGAATGCTAGAAGATACAAGCACTTTAAGGTCACGACAACATCTATTGAGAGCCCCTTCAAGTGAGTGTCCACCATTTATCAGCAAAATGAGAAAAAACTGTAATTATATTCCCTTACTGGTCTATTAACACTTTCCCCCTTTTTTCTCTGTTCTTTTCTAGCCATGGATGTGTACGAAACATCATAGACTTCTTTGAATACAGGTGCTGTGGTCTGTTTCGTCCTGTTGTTGTAGACTGGACAAAACAGTACACAATAGAGTATGACCAGACAACAGGATCAGGCTATCAGCTGGTGTAGCACCAGTGTTGTCCTCTGAAACCATATCACACTTAGGCTATCTTGGAGTGGTGCCTGATTATTTCCTTAAAACGAGACTGAAATCAGCTTGAACTAGCATGCTGTTGTGGGGCTACACAAGAACAAAGACCAGAACCTCCTCTTTCACCGACGTTTTCTGGACATGGACAGTCTCTTACTGCCAACCGTATGGAGAAGGAGGTGGCAAAGAGTAGGAGATTGATGTGGAAAAAGGGATATGTTCTTTAAATGGGAGTAATTTGCAATACATTTTCATGGCTGTTTTTTTTTCTCTTTATGTATTTTTATTGTTGGGATTTTAACTTATTTTTCTGTTTAAATGATCTTGAAACTTAACCGTTCCATAAAAACACCCTTGGAAAATTAATTTAAAGGAAAATATTTTGTGGGGAAAAAGTCTAAAGTCCTGGAATTTAATGCTCTGGTGATAAAGTGATAAAGGCTTTTCAGATCAAATTAGACTCTTTGAAGTGTTTTTTTCAGATCAAATTAGACTCTTTGAAAGGTTTTTTTTTATTATTGGCTCTGACAGTTTCAGCACTGGCCCCCTTATAAACTGTTTCAAGCAGTTTTTCTGAATCACCATTACTTTAAATTTTTCCAAGGAAATTTAGACTTTGTTCAATTTGGTTAACATGACAAATAAGACTTACAGGTAATCATTTGTCATTTATAAATGTGAATGTTTGTCAAAGCTTACTTTTACTATATCTGGAAAAATTGCCAGTTGGAGGTTTTCCCTATAAATTGATGTTTGTTGGTATTTATTTTTTAAGCTATTTAAGGTGGTAATTGGTTAAAATATGGTACAATTGGAATAGTCTGAGATTTTATGTGATTTTAATGTTTTATTGTGAATGCAAAAAAGTAAAATCAGCCATATCCCTTTTACACTAGGTCTACATGAATCACAAAAGACTGTAAGATATATAAATATTAATTGTATTTATTTAAGAAAAACATTAGAAATGACTACTTTTGCCATATACAACTTGAAACATGTAACAACAACCATTGTCTATTGGTGAGGAACTATCTAATAATGCACTGGGAAAATTTATGGAACTGTTAAAACTAGTTTACAAGAACAGTTCATTCCACATTTCCTTGTCTCAGTTATTTAAGTTATTTTTTAAATGCACTGATTTTCTTTTACTTGTCACTAATGAAATTGGGCTGATTCATTGCTTCCTAAAGAACACTTCCAGGTTTACTGCAAGAAGGCCACTGGCTTGTTATTCTGTAGAACAATTATTAGCCGCCCATCTTTTTTTGGGAAAGAGGGCTCTGTGAGCAGCAGCAACCAGATACAAGTGTAAAGAATGTTTATCTGTACATAAATTATATAGTTTCCCCATTTTGTGAGTGATTTTTGTCAGTGTTAGTCAAAGCTGCTCATTTTATTTTATCCAACCAAAAAAGAATAAAATAATAAAATTGTACGACTGTAGCTTTTAGTGATGTCCAGTACTGCTGTCTATAGGCATTTTAACCAGCAAGTTCACTGCATGTCTGATGCTTGGAAATTTGGCAGTCCCCATAATGTAGGTCATTTCCTCTATTGAATCAGCCCCAGTGTTAGCTCAGACCCTTCTGCTTGAAAGAAGGTGCGAGTCTGTAAATAGTGAATGTTGGTATTTTGCAAGTAGACCATTTCTTTTCCAGTAACCTTTTCTTTGTAGTGCAAGACCTACATAATTTGCAAGTGCCAAATATTGACCACTTGCAGAAATGTAATATATTTGAATGTTTACCATTTGGGAATAAAGGTTATTTTTTTCTTTTTGGATCTTATGCTGGGTTTGTAATACTACTGGATGTAAAATTGTAAAGTGAAAGCAAGAAAAAAATCATTTAGTTGATTAATGTTTAGCTGTTCTGCCTTGGTTCTGTCTATATGCAGGAATCTGGGACGATTACTAAGATGCATCAGGGCAGCCTGTCTTTTAGAACAGGGGCAGGGTACAATATGGGGACAATGTGGCATTGTTTGGACTGTCCATGTGCTTATCAGTTAACTTCGAGGTTAATTTCAACAGGGGCTAATTCAGACAAAAAAGGTTTGAATGCTCCTCTGAAATTCAGCCCCTCTTTTTTTGACAGTTTTGAGTACACAATTTTCTGCTTCAACAGTGCCTCAATATCTAATATATAAATCTTTACTTATCAGAACTCTGCTTCTAATTATTTTGACAGGGTATGTTTTGAATAGCTATCCACATAATCTGCTCATGATAATGCAAGCAAAGTCACTCTAATGCAGTTGTAGAAGATGTTGAAAGGGGGCACTTCAGGTGACTACATTGTCTTTTTGCTATATATGTTAAACATTGGTGACTAATATTGGGCATTGACAAGCACAGATACTGGAATTTAACTCCCCATATTTAAACATTTATACTAAACAGTCTAAATCAAGTATCAGTGTTTCTCTGTGTAAAGATCACCCCTTATCTGTCTCCACAATAGGGTGGATTATCAAAGCTCTTCTTCCAGTGCAAAGGTTGCCTGATGTTTGAAACCTAATATTTAATCTCTGAATGCAGAATATCACAAATCATAGTAACCACACATTGGTGTGTTCCCTTAGTAACTTTAAAGAGTGAGGCAAATTTTGCACTGGAGCTTTAGTAAACGGAGATGTATTTTTAGTTTTCACCCCTCTCTGGTGTCTGACCTTCCCTTGTATGCTTTAGTGTTACATGGCAAAATCCTCACTCTCCCATTCAACACCACTAATTCAATGTGAATTTAGTTTCTTTATCTGCAACTGTGCCAAGCTTTACTTTTGAGATCTTTGTTCTACTTTGTGATCAAGACTCTACACATAATCTGCATTCAAAATAGCTCTCCTTAAGTTATATGTCAGATTTTTGTAAGTTATTAAATAAACATGGCCTATTATGTAACACTGATGTTAAACTGTGTTTCATGCTGCATCCTGAACCCACAACAGTAACTGATGTGTGTGGCTACTGTAAACACCACTGATTAAAAAAACCTTGGGTGACACTAATCTTGTGGATAGCAGCCTTGATTTTCATCAAGTGAATTAAGCAACAGTGCACTGAAAAGGGGGAAAAAGTTAAAATTAATGTTCCTTTGCAAGACATATTGTTCAAACTGGCCTATAAAAGTGACAAACACTGCAAAAAGCTTTTAAAAAAATCTATCATGTATGAATTATTACATACATTTCAAGAATGTAGTAAAAACTACCCTAATCACAACAGGCTGTCAACTCTGATAAAAGTAGTACACTTTTCATATCCAGATCTCCCCAATCTAGGACATGAACTGCTTCGTGCTGTCTAATACTATCACAGATGAATGGCTGAATTTGGTCTAAAATGTTGGGAGTGACTAACATCCATACACACCCTTAAACTGTTCACTACTAGTACAAGATTTTACAACAGGCATGGGGGGAAAAAAAGACCCCATTAAGTTTAATCAATAAATGTTTATTAATTGCAAAACAAAAGCCAATGTGGTTTTTATACAAGAACTCCCAATTTAAAAGGCAAATTGGTTAGTAACAAAGCTTCACAGTAGTAAATTAATGTACAAAGTATTTTTTTTTTGTCTGAGCACTCGGCACTACTCTTGATGATGCGGCATTTGCAAGCTTTATCACTGGGCATGAACAAGGGCTCCAGCACCCTGGCCGTAGCCAACACCTTTGGGTCCAAAATTCTTAGCATAACAAGCTGCAAGACAAAAAAAAACATTTTGACCATAAAAACATATGCATCACACTTTCCACATCTGGTCATCACACACGGATTGGGTACAAGGAGAAAATTCTTGACATTGTGTGTACCTTAAAAATGTAAAGCACACTGAACATAAACTGTCTGATTGCTGCTGTTGAAATTTACAGTCTAAGCAAAGCATCCTAGCACTAAGTTTCAAACAGGATGTTTAGAGGCTAATAGCATATGTGTGGTAGGTAAGATTGTGGGTAAGAACTATTTGTTACTTTAAGTACCTTTCTGATCTAGAGAGCCATAATCATGATTTTGATCGTTTACCATAAACCTAAATAGTACAGACAATTTAGAAATCTTTGATTAAATGTTTGGTTTTCAAAACTTAGTTATACACCGTACTAGTGAAAACTGACAAATGGAAAAAGTCTCTTCCGTAACAGTCCAAAATGGTTTTCATACACAACTAACAAAATGCAAAACCTTTTTAGGTTGAAGAAAAATCCCACAATGCACAAATGGTATTTTTACCATGACGCAAACTTTGTTTTAAACCAGACAGTGTGTCAACAAGCACCTTAATCATGCACTCATTCTACACAAGCCTCAACTTAAGTTGGCATGGCTTGTGAAAGCCATCCTTCAAACAAGTTTTACCAAAACAGTGTCACCAAACAAGTTCCAGTACAGGTCCAGAAAGCTTACCTTTACAGTAGATCTCTCCGTCCTTTTCAGTCTGAGTTGTAGACTCCAAGCTCTTCCCACACTTGGCACATCTGAAGCAGTTCTTGTGCCAGGGCTAAACAGAGGATAGAAAAAACTGACATGCTGAAAGCATACTGTAACCAAGCAATGGTTTCTATTTCTTTGAATATAAGTTAACTGATAAACAAAGATAAGATGACCTTAGTATTAATCTATTAGAATCTCACAAATGTCTTCTTCTAAATTAGGTTCTGATGTTGCAGTTGCAGTGACAAAAGTATCTGCTATACAGTCTGAGTCAGTCAGTCTGACTGCATTTCCTAAAAACAGATTAGATTGACAATGAGACATTTGAGTTTGGACTTCAATAGAACAATACTTGACTTTGGTATCAATATGTAATCCTGCATTAAGAAGAAATATACAAATACAAATAGTGTGACTGTATTGTTTTGTTTGTCCATGTTGCTTCCATATGATGAGGATGAACACTCCTTGTGTAGCAGAGCTGTCCCTTCACTGATTAAAATGGCCACCAAGTACTGGCTTTGAAGAAGCCCACTGTTTGGATACAGAATCAGACGTCAATATAAAATGCTCCATTTTCACAGGTTCAAGCCTGGTCATGTCATGAGCCGACAGAGACCTCAGTTCCTGAAGGGGTGTCAGGGGCGGAGGTGCTGAAAAAGACCTAAAGTGACCAAGTGACACACCTCACCCTATCTTCTTCCTTACCTTTCCAGCGCCCACTATCTTCTCTGCAGCATACACCGACTCGCCACACCTGGCACACTTCTCGGACCCCCCAAACTTCTGCGCAAACTTGGAGGGGTTGGCGTTGGTGGTTGGTCTGTGACTCTGGCTTCTGTATATTAAAAATAGCTTATTTAGCTCTTCCAATATTGATGTCTGTTTTTGCAAAGCTGTTGAATGAAGCAGAAGTGCGTGCCTTTTCCCTGACTCTCTCTCAGTGGGTCACACTGTACTCCAGATTATGATCATTACAGGAGCTGGACTTGCATAAAGAGCCCTTTTAGAACAGAAGTCATCTGACAGCTCTAGGGCTCCTAACTATATGATGCCAATATAAAAGGTACCGATCATTCCATTGTAAACAATTCCTCATTCAAATCAGTGAGAGATGAACACACTATCTGATGAATTGGCACAGGTATTTTTCATACAATTTCACAGCGATTTGTCCCAACTACAGGCCTCAGAAAATGCAGCATTATTTATTTAAGACAGAAAAGGGAGGATCTTCTTGTGAGTGGAGCATTATTTCTGTAATAGCTAATTGGAAAAAGCACTCACTCCTCTGGTTTGATGCCAAGTCTCTCTCCTCGGTCCATGTTGAGTGTTCCAGCCCCTTGGCCATATCCATAACCTTTCGGCCCATACTTCTTCCCATAGCAGGACTTGCAGTAAATCTCTGTATCGTGAATGGCCAGCGTGGTGCTGTCTAGGCCCTTTCTGCACACCACTGCAATAATAAAATTGTAATATGAGCAGGAAGACAGACCGTAGCAGGGTTTGCAAGTGAGGAATGATTCCAATTGAAAGTTTTAATCTCCAAACTGTTTTTAATGAAAAACTAGAAACCTGCAACCAAGAGTGCAGAAAAACAATAGTCTTCTGAAATATCTTGATCTCCGTGTTCAGAAATGTCTACGAAAATCAAATCAAACTGACAAACTTTCTTCTGACCATTATACAGTACAGAGCTGCCCAGGCTTGGTCCTGGTATACTTGTTAACCAACTATTTAACCCCTGCTCCTAATTACACCCTTAACTGTGCAAAACAAACTATGGTTTCACATACACTGATTCCTGAATATTATTTTTTTTATACAATACCCCATTGCGCTTCAAAAAAGAATTGGTAAATACTAACCCTTTTTGATCATTTAAAAAAGATTGCCATAATTAATAATAATGTAAATCTCATAATTATATTGGGAGCTCACAAACATTTTCTGATCATTGCACCACCAAATCGTTTGTAACTGTTCGTATGTCACCAGAATAAGGTCTTTAGAACAAAAGGTAGGATGAAGAACCACTGCACTGCAGGTTGCATTTTGATGAGGACCTGTTGACCAGTTGTGGGTGTATTGTATAGTATTACTGCAAATCTGGCAAGTGCACTTCTGAAGCTGCCCTGGACAAAACCCGCGAGGTTTCAAGTCAATAAGTGCACTGGCTCTACGACCACGGTAATTTGAACAAAATTATTACTATTGTGACTCATGAACAGTCATCAGTAAAAAAATCCTTTCTATGTTTGGTGTCAACCTGCCAAAAAGTCCTTGAACAGGGGCAGCTGGTATAAAAGGCTGCATTTTGTCAAAGAGTTGAGGGTTCACTTTGGGTGGCAAACTATCAAAGCAATATGTGAGGTGACAATCAGAAGCAGCATTGAATTTAACTTTAGTATCTATGTAGGAATAAAGCTCTGCAGCTATCTTGGTACAGTATATACAGTACAGGAATAACATCATGTCAAACATTAATATGCTCACTAGACAACATATTGGCCATTACTTGGCCCATGAAGTTAATTGAAGTTAATGAACTTAATTAGCCAATGTTAACTGGCCAGTGTTTTTGCCAGTGTTAACTGGTCAAATGTTTTTAGACAGAGCACTTAACATGATGAGCAGCACACATCATAGACATAAAAACTAATAGGGCAACTTTATAGGTTCACAATTCACAAAACTTTGGCTGTTGAAGTCTGCCAACGTTTTAATTCAGTCAGTGCAGCAGTTCATCAGGAGGTTCTCGAGCTGGATTCAAACACACACTCAGGTCACATCTTTGGTTGACACAGGACATAAATCTTTGCTTTAATGGTTTTTTTAATTACTACTTTAATGGCTTGGCCTTTTTCAGCATGCATGGAACATGAGATTAAAAAAACAAAATCTGCATAATTGCAATAGGCTTCCAGGGTCTGCCTGAAGGTCAAGTTAAATTGTGGTTGTAGTCTGCAAAATACCCAAGCTGAAATGAAAGTAACTTTATTCACCACACAAAACAGGATCTGGGGATTGTCCTTTTACTAGCGTTTCCTTACAGAACCTGCAATACACCCATAGATTGCATTGCAAACTGCAATACAGTACTGAAAACAGAAAAAAGCACTTCATAAAAGCAGGTTACTGTATTTATCTAAAGAGCTCATAGGCTTCAAACACTGTGTTCACCTTAGAGGTATGTTTACGTAAAACTTTCATAACTTTTTGTGCACACAACAAGTTTAATATCAAGCACCTAAAGGAGCTGAACTATTCTAAGGCTCAGAATTCTTGAAAACCCATCCTGAGAAGAGACTGACCCTGCTTCGTTATTGATCAGGAAAGCATGAGTAAATTACATACACATCTTGTCAGTCTAGACGATGTCTCCGAAATGCATGAGCAGACACATGACATATGTAACCAATGACATTTACCATTCATTAAACGTAATTTACTGCAATTACTCAGTATTGGGATAAATCAGACCACATGGTGTTGCACATATCTAGATGGCACTATACTCTTTAAAACATTTACTACTATTGGACAACAGCTGGGTAACCAAATTATAATTTCTGGATTGCATGAAGATAAACTCTTAATGGGTTACAAGTTGATGTCCAAGAAAATAGAAAGATTGTACTGTAAGTCTGCCTTGCTGGGCCCAGACTTTGACAAACTGGTAAAGGCAACAAGGTTGAGTTGAGATTTTGGTCCATACTTTATGTGAGGTTATGGAAGGAGTAGATTTAATAGATTCTCTTAATATATAATGCATAAATTCTTATAACGCAAAACTTAAAGGAAATCGACCTCCATTTATGATGCCCAATAGAAAAAAGTCAGAAGAGGAGAGTCAATGTACAAGAATTCTCAGTGACTCAAAAGTCAGACTCGCAGAGCAAAATCAATTTTAACCTTTATGAACAATAAAATAAGACACTACACAATCTGACTGCATGGCCCTTTATGAACAAACAAACGAAGAACCCCAAAATAAACTATAACAGCTGACTCAGGTCAACTGGGGAAAAATATATATGCGATATATATTTACATTGTGTAACTGCAATATGAAGCTCTGAAAAAAATCAATATTGTGCAAGAATTTGGAATTATGGCTTTCACACTAAAGCCAAATTTTCAAGTTTAGAAATTTTTTATTGTGTTCCATATCTTCACAACAGAGTGCATAACATTTCTGGTCATTCAGTGAGATAAACAACACTTTTATTCTTTTGAGTTCCTGGACTTATCATGCTCGTTTGTCTTTGTCCTCAGGGACAAAGCAGCTTCTGTAACATCAAGTCCATTAAAATAAACATTATAAAGGCCAGATTGTCTTCTTCCTGCAATAGCCAGGCATTAATCCAAAGGATGTGTGTCATTACAACAGTTCCAGAAAGATACAATCTGTTAAAAGGAGGTCAACTCAAAATGTCTTCAGAAAAACTTAAACTGCATTCAAACCAAAAAACAAGCAACCTTTAATACAACGTCAGCATCTAGGAAGAATATGTCCTAAGGGCACTAATTGATTTAGGCTGCCCTGGGCCCTAGAAAAGAAAATAATTTCAAGAGGCTTGGCTAAGCAATTAATATAGTAGTCTCCAAAATTAAAATGCAGAAAATGCAATTCTGAATCAGTGTTTTTCAATATCTGTAAATGTGAGAATGTTTGAAAGGGGGGTAACAACTATAAACAGATGTTTCTAAATGCACAAATGTTCAAAGGTAGTCCTATCTTCCAAACACACATATAACCCCTTTAACGGTTTTTCATCGTCTCGTAGTTTCACAAACCCTCAGTTTAGATTTCTGGACATCACCTTGTTGACCGTTGCATTAATAGAGGCGAAAAACAAAAGAACAATGCTCAGTACACCACGGGGAAAGTCCCACTACGCCAATTTTACACCTGGCTGAAGAAAGCTTGAAATGATACTGTTGTACTTACTGCAGAGAAAACAGCATTTGTGAAAGCTTTTCCCATCACACTGCACCTCCTCAGCATGGTACACTGTCCTCTGGCAGGCTGCACACTTGTTACCACCACCCCAGTTCGGCATTCTGGTGCTGTGAAGAGGAGACAGGAAGAGCGAAACAGAGCTTTACTTCTACAAGCATCTCATACAGGAAGTCTGAGGTAGGTATGTCCTTCCCGTTTCAAGTCACGTCAGCAGTAGCTTCCTCCTCCTGCACATTCCAATTATTAGATGAGAAGACTGAAAGCCCTTGGAAAACCTTGAGAAGTTACAAAGAGAAAAATGCAGACCCACACAACTCCCTAAAGTCGTGGGCTTATGGGTCTACCTTCTCCTTTTCAAAAGAAGTAGGCATTCTTTCAAACCAAGCAAAATCATTACTGTGTTTCTAAACTATTTAAAAAAATAGTTCTAACAGTTCAATGTCCAGTAGGGATGTATCAAGTAGTTCTATATCAAACAGGGATACAGTAATTCAAGTTGTCATGGAAATGAAAGGTCGACGATGTCCGATAAAATTGTTACATTTTCTACTGGTATTGTATTTAAATTAATATTTTTGGTCTGCATCATGGTGTTTTCAAGCTACCACATGAATAAGACTTATTGTTTGTCAAAACATGTCCAGTGGTGTTTCGAGGTTTTGAGGTGCGCAAATGTTCACTTCACTTCCACAACAATGTTGAACGATGACCGTTTTCATATTGAATGTGCTATAATGGAAATTAATATAAATTGGAAAATGTTGCTGGGAGTGGGATTAAACTTTTCTTCTAAAAAAGGACCTAATACACCATGGAACAACAAAAACACTTTGGATGCAATTAAAAATATTGGCCATGTTTTTTAAATCTACGTATATCTTGAGGACTACCCTTTTAATTAAAAATGCTATAAAAATTGGCTAAGTATAATTTTCATTTTAAATAAAAAGTATAAAGTGGGACATTTTTTACAAGCTGAAGTGTAAGACTGAATTAAGTGATGTAATCACATAGCTAGTAAAACTGTAATGCATACTGTATGTAATTCTAGCTTGACCACAACCAAGAATTCATTAATCATGCAAGTCAGAAACGGCTATATTCTGAAGTTGCAAGTCACCATAATTACAAACTATGAACTGAGCTCTTAAGACTACCCAGATGTAAAAAAGGAAAAAAGAAGAAATAAAAAACTGAGTTAAGTTCCGTCTCCCATTCCTCTGTCAAGTCTCAATTCATGCAACGTTTTCATAGACTGTAGTTTATCATATATAAATATACATCTTTCACTGAGCCATTCTGTTTCTTGGATCAGGACACTCAGGCAATCAGTTAAGACACGCACTTTCTTCAACTGCAAAGTCATCATAGCTTGTGTCTAGAGCAGCAGTTTCAGTCTGAGAACTCCAGCAAGATGGTAATCAGGAACAGCAATGTAAACTGCACGTGGAACTACAGACAGAATGAAAAAGGATGTATAATTATTATGTTTGTGTTTTAATATTCAAATTAAACATTTGAAACATACAACATTTTAAGGTCCAGTGCCCGTGGACACATTCAGAAAGCTTCATTTGTTCCCCTTTAGGTTGTTGAAAATCTTATATACTGCAAATACGGTGTAGGTAACAAAATAAGATGATACTGCCTTGTTTAACACTTCCCAGGAAGGTGACTTATTTTCCTTAAAGTCAAGCTAGTGGCCAACCACTCCCAAGAAATGGCGTGTGCTCCAGCGGTTAGGGACAATGCACTGGATGCAATGTGTGAACTCTATTTATATGCTTCCAGATTTTTCTATAGGAAACCTCCTGAACACAATGAGTCTGAGCACAGCCTCATACAACAATACACCATGTGTACAGTTTTCAAGTTAGAAGGTACAACCTGCTTTTTTTTAGATTTAGAGATACGATTCAAATGACCAAGATAAGAATACCTATAAACCCCCATCCCCCTACAAAAGAGGAAAAGTCATTTCAAAGTAGACGGCAAAAGCACACAATGTATAAAGACAAAACCATTAATATGCAAAAATGCATCCATCTTGATCTTCATGCTAAAGAAACTGTAAACAATCCATTGCCAGTCAACACCAAATACAACTGAAACTGAAGATCTGGTATTGCAACACCTAAAATACAATTTTCACAAGCTTGATAGTATACCGTGAGCTAAACTGGAATAACATAAATCTTTCCTTATTTTTCTAATCATAAAACTTTAAAAGCTTTTACACTCATAATTTGATTTCTACAATTCAGTTGTGACTTTTTCTGTGTTGTTATATGAGCACCTTTAACAAAGTTTTTAAATCTTTCTGCAAAAAATATTCACTGCATTGGGTGTAACTGCACATGTGTTCATCCAGTTTAGAAAAGGCATCTCTCCAAAGGCTTAGATTCAGCAAGAGGCAATGTAGTTTTTCTTTCAGGGATGTACCACACCATAAACATTAGTAATCCTTAGAAGCATATATGCTAGAACATGCTTTAAGAAATACAGTATCCAGTTTCCATGTGAAAAACATGCGGGTTCATTTGTCTGAGGCCTCGGTATTACTCCATGAACGGTATTTTTCACTTGGTGAATTAAGCAATTTAATCTCCAACTGACTTGAACACACAATTACGTGCCAGCTGAATCAAACGAAATGATACTTTTCGAAGACTGTCTATGTGACGGCACAGAAGCAGCCACAGCACAGAGTTTTTAAATAACCCCTTTGAAAGGAACTGCTGACATCAAACTCAGTGCATTACAGTTTGTATTACAAAGCAATGCCTTTGCATTCGATCAATCGTGAAGATACGAACCTTAAATGTGTACAAGGTTCTTGAAAAAACAGACTTTTAACAACCAAAGGTGTGCAAATGTTTCTAACGTTCCAGCTCATTTTATTTCCAAACCGACCTTGGGTGAAAGAACACCTGGGAGGTACTCTCGGGTAGAAGCCTGGCTTTTGCAGGTTCTTTTAAACAGTCCGTCTGCTGCCAGGTAGCCTCCGCAAACCTTAATTTTTGCTACAAAGTTTCCCCCTAATACATATTTCAACTAGTACTCAATAACATGTAAGTCTTTAAGTAAACATGTTTAAGTAAACAAAAGTTCACTGGGAAAAACAGTCTGAAGAAGTAACAACATCATGTACAGATACCGGTACTGTATTCAAAAAGCACTGCATTTCCAGATATAAACTTCATTATAGATGCACGTTGCCTTTAATCGAACAGTAAGTCAAAACAGACTCATAAAATGTCCTGTATTTATAATCAAACTATCCAATAACGACTAATGAAACCCATTAAGAGAAGACTTACTGTAACTTGGGCAGCAGCTTTTATACGTACTTCATTTCCATACATATAATCGTTTTGAAAGTGTAAAGTAGAAGAATTAAACGCATCACGTATAGCCATCTCAATATTTATAGCTGAAAGCCAACCGCTAATCGATGTAAATTCGACGTTCATGCAAATAGATAATATATCGATAGGATTAAAAATGATTATCTTTACAATGCATCAAACAAGCAAAAAAAACCCTTACATTTACCGCAGATTTAGACTGAAGACTCAAATCCGCACAGATGGTGCTACGGTCAACCTCCCCCCTCAAATTCGGCGAGTTCGAGCTGCGTCAGACTCTCATAGGTGGGAGGAGTGGATGGGTTTGGAATGTTCAGGCGTGGAAACCGTGCTCACGGAATTTTGCGTCATCTTGGATGTGGCATGCGACGAGAATTGTCAGTACGTACAGCTAATGCCTTCCCTGCGCTGCGGTGATCATCGTATGTTTACTCAACAGGGCGGACGGCAACCCTATTAATAATAAAGAGAAATGCATGACTACTGATGAGTTGAAGAGGCTGTAAAAACCTATTTCTTGAATAAACGGATTGTATAAATGACAAAAGGGGGTGCACACAAAACCCAAGGCTTTTCTAAATGTGTATATAAAAATATCATTTTTATTAAGTGCACTAATGAAAAATCCACGTGCTGCAGCTGTGGCAATTCCATTGTTTATAATTATATAAGAATAATTTATAGTAAATGGATGTGGTTGCTATGAACGAAATAATACGTTCATTTGGGACGGATGTTTTTGCCTGACAGACTGAAAGAAAATTCTAGAGTGAAATCTTATGGTTAAGGCACAGGAATAAGACCAAGAGGCATTGATTTCATTACCAAATATAAAATGTGTGACTTTGACAAATGCATAACTATCAGACCAAACCCAGAATCAACTAGTAGAAAAGAGCTGTCTGAACACACCTTAGATAACGTTTTCACAGTTTTCATCCTATCGCACAGCTGTTTGCTAAACAGAATGTTTAGAACAATACCCTGCCGTTTGTTATTCAGAAGACTCGTATTTATGGCTTACTTCCACTAAAAATATGTATTGTGCAGTGCTACGAGTTGTAATAATGTTTATTCTTTTTGTATGTCTGGATAAAACACAATATAAAACTCAAGTCTCCATTGCAAAGTTTACTGTAATATACAGTACAAGATTTAAAGTCAAATTGTATTAACGTGGTGAAATAATAGTAAAGCATACAGCACAAAGTTATTGTAAAGCATGGTAGACATTTTTAGACATCACTGGTGACATACTGTACAGTAAAAAAAAACAAATTAAACACAAGGTGAATCTGAAGTTATTCTTAACTAAATACTATCAGACATGTGCCGGATTCTTCATATTAGAGTTAGAATAATGAGGACAGCCTTGGTCCTGCAGAGACACAGGCTGGTCTTACAGGCTACCCTTATATCAAAAGTTCGTAAAGACTAATTGTAGTAATTGCTTCAGTTAAGGTCAAAGTGAAATTCTTCCAAATACTTAAAAGATTTAGGATTCAAGGGTGTCCTGTAAAACCTGCTCGAACAGGAGTGGTCGTCTCTGAGCTATTTGTTTTAAAATATATGCACATATTGCAAGAAGGCTTTATCATACAGTATGTATGTAAACTAAGGTAATGACATTGCAAGACTGTGATACAATGAGGTATTTCAGCATGTGAAAGCACATGGAGGCACAGATACGGTAGGCAGTTTGGTCTTGAAAACCAAGAATTCTGCTTAGCCTCATCTTCAGCAGAACACATTCAATATTTAAATATAGTAATTTATGGATAAGGAAAACAATTATCATTTTAAGATTTTGATGGAGATTTATGGCATGCTCAGATAAGTTGGGAAAGCCTCTGAAACTCAAGTACCGATGGTCAAAAACTTTAATTGGAAGCACAAGGATTTAAACATAACCCTCAAATTATTTTTGTAGTGCCTTTTTGTCTTGTTTTACATGAAGAACATGCTAAGGTAAATTGATCCTTTGTTTTTACTCAAAGCATTCTTCTACTTACAGTATATAAATAGTGCTTTTATATTTTGCTGTGTATGAAACACATTTGTCAGCTGTAATCCTATAGTCAAGACAGGCTGCCCACACATAACTAGATGCTGGGATGTGCAGTGATGGATGTGTGGTTGTTTTGCCATTTCTTAAGTCAATTCTTATAGAGAGAGCTTTTGGGAAACTTACAGAATGTTGTTTATTAGTAAAAAGAGTTGATCCGTTGTGCAGTATGTTTCATACGTTTAATGAAAATGGGATATGGGAAAAGTACTATACCATATGAATGAATTAAATACCTCTGAGAAAATCTTTGGCTGTTTCACATTCCACAGAAACTATTAACCTTTATCTGAAATGTCAGATGGTGTTAAAAGGAAAAACAGGCTGGTCCTAAGACGACTGAAAGGGCTTTTCAGGAAAAGAAGGGTTACTAAAGTCATTCAACATTGTCTGATTGTGGTGATTTATTGTTGTTTTAGAATATTTACTCAAGAGAGGAATGAAGTCCCTCTGTTCACTCAAGGGTCTTGCTGCTATGGATACATTACATGAAACACAACACAGAAAAATGTCTGAATTTGACAAGAAAACAAAAACTTTGATAGAGGATGTTAACAGGGCCTTGTGTCTGTACTTATTCCTTTCAGCACATAGAGTAAGTACTTTAAGGTGCCTATGTGTGCTTTTGATATAGCTGACTTTGAACATCAATCAAAATGTAGAACACATATGGGTTTTCTAATTTAATTAATGTCAGTTTTTTCAAAGGTGTCAGAAAAACTTAAAAAACATTTATTATGTGTTGTTTTCTGGGTTAGATGTACCTTCTTAATTATACTGTCAGTCTCACTATACAGTATATTCCCTGTGTGATTTTTCTTGATCCTTGCTCTTTGTTTGCCCATTCTAATTGTACAATACTCTTTGAGAGGCTTTCTATAATTTCCCAGAAAGTTTTAAGGGGTTTAGATTTTTTTCCCTTATGTTGTTGTTTTTTCATAAAATAGGATGGTACTATACTTAGAAACCTTCCCACTTCAATTCCTGCTTATCAGTTTTAAAATAATTAAAAATAACAACATTTCTTAAGTACACTTAAGTACAGGCTTAAGTACACTTTTTTGATAAATATAAATAATTCCTCTATTTTGACTTGCATAGACTTAGCACCTTATTTTTTCTATATCATTTCTAAGAAAGAATCTGTTCACATTGATTTAATGTACTGAATATAACAGGACACCACAAAACAAACTACACAACAGAAATGATTATAGAGGTAAGCAAAAAGCACATCAGGGACTAGTTAAAATTTTGCTTACTTTAGAAGAGGTTAATTCTGCACTGAAAAGTTCAAAGTAAGAGCACACATCCTTTCAGTTATTGAGCCTTCTTCGGGTGTTTATACTGTAGTTGTTCCTTTGTTTCCACAGGCTGACACACTAACAGTCTGTACTACTTTGTTTGCATAAAAGGCATTTTATAGATGCATTCAGAAACAACTGAAAACTAAATTTAACAGCAAAACTGCCAAAATAAAATATCTATCATATTTTCATCATGTCACTGCACAGGTCATAAGCAATTCACAAAATCAAACTCAGAGCCACAAATACTGTCTCGCTCATACAATGTTTTTCAACAGGAAGGATGAAACATTTGAGTACTTTGTAATTAAATCTCCTTCAGTGCTTCCATCTCCTGACTTTTGTGTTTTCTAAACCAATGCTGTAATTCATTTGGCTTCCACCTTCAGTTCCATGATGAACTAGTTTGTACTTGTATTGAAGACTAGATGTGATACATCCAATCCATTAATTTACAATTCAAGTGTCTGTCCCTTGCTGTTGTTCCAGCAGGTCTGATATAATCTTACAATAGTCTGTACATTCACAGCCAGCAGATAGCATTTCTGAAACCCACTGCCTTCTGCTCTTCTTTCACTTTGTATGTGAAAATTGTCACCACAATATTTTGATTATTAGAAAACACAGTAATCCATTAAATACTGCCAAATCTTTCTTTTATTGTGATGAAAGCTTTGCTCTGGAACACAAATAATTAGGAATGCCATTTAGAAAGAGTGTTTTGTTGAAGAGGAAAATGTGAAGGAAAGGATAATGGAAAACAGATGGATGGGATAGGTCAGTATATTATCTTCCCGTGATGCTTTAATGGATCAACGTGGATAAAGGACAGGTTGTGAGTAGCCATTGAAAAATCAAGAACTGAAAGAGACAGATTCCTTTATATTGCTTTCTTTCTTGTGATTAATACTGTATGTTTGTGGTCACTTATCGAACTCATGCTGCCTTCAGCTCACACCCAGTTATATTCTATGGAGGCTCAGTGTACTGTATTTCAAAATGAGGACATGATGGAGGTTAACAAACTGTCAGGTCCTTTGAATTTCTCAAGAAGGGAAGGACATCATCTCGACAGTCATGTCAGCCTGTATTTTACAATTGGTGTAGCTTCAAATGAGGGATGCCCTAGGTTGTTGCTTTCATAGCAGACTTTCCAACTCAGACTTTCCATGACATTTCTGCTCTATTTAACAACAGCTGAATTCAGCTGAAATGTGGGACTTTCTTGTTCTGTCCAAAAAGGCCCCTTTCTTCTGTCACTGTGCAAAGTCATATTTTCCTAAGGCTGGGGGTTGAAGGTTAGTATTTGCATCTTATTGTTTTAGACAGCTGCATCACTTCAGTTTTGTCTTCTTAAATGTTCCACATTCTGTATTTGAGTGTGTTATAACCTCATCTCCATTGTCAGAGAGGTATGGATGGGATCAGACCTGATTGTAAAAATATATTTTCATTTCTGACCCCATTGTCTGTCCACATTAGACATCTTTGCTTGCCATTGTCCTTGTTGAACTAAAATTTTGTTAAGTTATCAGATCTGAAGTGAACAGCACTTCATGTGAATCATATGCTTTCTGCTCTAAAGTACATATGTGCTGTCCATAAGTATGGAATGTTTGGAAAGTGTATAAGCCTGCTTCCTTAAGTGATTTTCTTACTCCTAAAAAGGCCCATTTCCGCTGGGCATTTGCTGGTCTATAATTCAGGTGAAACTGTAGTCTTTGTCTGCTTTATCTGCTTTCTGACAGGGTACTGGTTGCAGAAAAGCTTAAAAATAAACACCTGGGGCATGTTGTTGCCTCCAGAAGAGTGGTCTCCGTAAATTCTGTCTGCATTTTCCATCTTCCAGTCTCACTGTTCCTATAAAGATATCTCGTTGTTTGATTGTGGAATTTTATGGGCCATTGTATGAATGTGGGTGGGTTAGAAGGATGGAGAATAAACTGAAACACCATGTCTGACATCATATGGATTTCTTCTGACACATTAACCAAAACAACAAAGTTCAATCTTGGACTTTAAACTTGGATGTTACTAATTTGCATTTTTCCCCCTGTATATGCCAAGCCTTCATTCACTTTTACTTTTCAATAGTTCGTGATTTATTGTACCACTTTCACAGTAGATTTTTTACCATTTTTTACCACGATTGCTGTGAGCGTTACTATGTTTTATCATTTTTCTACAATTAATGTCCCTAAACAAGGTGATACTTTTTTCTCAGATACGTTCTAGCTCTTTCCTTCCTATACTTTAGAAAAACCTGGTGGGATTTCATCATACTCAGGCAATTAAAATCCAAAGCCAGCAGTCAGCTTAATTCTATTTAACTGAAGCACCTGGGCTCAGTAAGAGTGAATCTGTCTTGTGATAAGAATTATTTTCATTAATTTATTGCATTTTCATGATCACTAGTTATTTCACGTCACCTTTCATTCAATGTCAGTGAAAACCTGTGGGTCTTTGTTGTGAACAATGCAATGAAAAAGCTCGAAAACCTTGAGAGCTTTGTGAAGTTATGTACTATACCTTTGTAAGCTCCGAAGAGAATGCCAAAAAATTAAAGTAAGCTTCCATTCAGACTTTTTGTTGTCTGAGACACCCGCTGAATAGGTTTTTTTACAAAAGTCCAAAATTAATTTCCATTATTGTTTTCTTTTACAGCCACAAGCAACATTTCATTGGAATGCAGCTTTCTGTCCAGGGAGTAATTAAATTAAGATTACATGTGATTGTGGCAGACTTGGCACTTTTCAAATGGCTGTGGAGACTTTCACTTCATTCTAAAAATACATGTCCATCTTCTGGGCTTGGAATTCTAGTTGTTGACTCATTTCCTGAAGACTGTCTGGGAAGCTCAGTAGTTTGTAAAATTCTGCTGAAGCTCAGACATCAAAGTACTGTATACTATTACTAACTTCTGTAAAATAGGTTTACAAGGTGATGTAAGGCTCTCTGGGTACTGGATCAAATGTCTCAACGCCCGTGGTATTAAGTTTTACTTGAATGGGTGACAGCATTTGATTCTGACTGATTGTGACATTATTGTGTAATGTACAGTACATATCATAACCACAGTAAATATAAAATTTGCAAAATAAACTGTATTTCCCCCCCCCTGTGCTTAATATCTGTTTGAATTTTTTGTTGATCTGTTGTTTCTGAGTAGTTAATCCACTGACTCCAGCATTTCTGTGCTTAACATAACTTTCCTCCCTCCTGGAGTGAGATGGCAGCTGCAGGCAGGCTGTGGTCATTTTGTTTGTGTAACATGTCTCGTGCACTGAACCAGTCACAGAAGTGACGTGACCTCCCTCTGAAGTCTAGACAGTGTAAAATTCCACTACAGCAGAGGACCTGGTCTTTTGGTGTGGTGGAGTTATCTGCTGTCTAGAGAGTGCATGCTGGGAGCCCCCGAGTGACCAAGATCAAATTACGATAGGGGTAGGGAGAGCTGCATCTGTCACGTTTGAGTCTGTATATTTTTAACTTCTGGTCAAGTGAAATCACATTCAAAGATGATGCAATTAAAACAGCCCATTACTGTCAAATTAGGGATTGAACCAATGCACTGTAAATCTTATTGTCCAATAAAAAGAAATGTTATAATATAATGGCAATAAGGCCACTGCCTTAAATCTATTTGGACTTGGGTTTAATCCCGGCTTAGTTCACATTCTGGGTGGAGTTCTCTCCAAGTTCCATTGATTTTCTCTGGGTGCTTAGTTTCCTCCCTTAGTCCAAAGGATGTTTTATTTGGATGAATTGGCATCTCCAAACCCTCCCCACACACTGTACTGTATGTGTTTATGTTTGCCTTCTGATGGACTATCTTCCTGGCCAGGGCATAGTCCTGTCTTGTGCTTTCTGCCTGCCCAATTGGGGTCCAGCTCACCATGACCAAGGGATAAAGTAGTTACTGAAGGAGGATGGGTGGTATAAATATATAAATAAATTAAAGGGAGCTTTTGGGACTAAGGATATCTGTTGAGTACCACTCTGGAACTCCTTTAAACCTCTTATTCTTCACCAGCTTCTGCAGAGTGACATTAAATGAGTTGTTCATTTTAATAATATATATATTATATATAGTACACTGTATATATCAAAAGAAACACTAGAGAGGAAGCTAGTCACCTTACAGAGCCCGTTTGGTTTCGAGCAGCTGCTTGATCTGAGGATCTCATCCAGCTGCATCTTGAAGATGCCATGGTATCGGCTTCTTTGGAGACAGTAGTGCAATGTTGTGGAGAGTCATAAGTGCCATATTGTGGAAGTGCCTTACAGCAGATGATAATCTCACTGCCCTTCATTAAATTGACAGGATTTTGAGATCTGTGCTTCATGTGTTGGTACAGCAATAGCAACATTAACGTTGTTCAGCGTGATAATGCTCATCCTCAGCCAGCTGCCAGGGTGATCTGCTCAGCAGACTGAACGTTCCTTTGACCTGTGTTCACTCTGTCTTCCAGCCCATCCCAAACTGCCTGCATACGGCTTATTCTAATGCTGGATATACAGTTATTGATCATTTCTGAAAGTGTCACGTTATATGTGACTTGTTTTCACTTAAAATTAATCAGAATCAAATGACCTAATGATGTCACATCTAGTGCTCATTTTAGGAAATAGAACCGTTTTTCAATCCTGTTTATTTTATCCTAGATTATACGTTTATATTAGATATAATTTTATTTAAATATAATTTACCTCAGATAATCATAATTTTAGCAATAACAGTAAACAATCAAAATTTTCATTGGAAAGTCCTTTGGACATTAATATGTGTTGTACATTTAACAATAAGAAATTTCTAGAAATCCTTTTCTTAAAGGGGAACTGCAATACAAATACAAAATACTATCAGGGTTAATTTAAAATAAAAAAGAAATGACTACTATTTCAGTAGCTCATTATAGAATTTTGGTTTTGTATATTGAAAGTAAAAGTGAGTGAAAAGTCGAGCAATTGAAAATATCCAAGATTTTTGGATAGTAATATATAGTATATGCTCCCAATTTCTAAGTCCACAAAAATTCACTTTAACTCCTGGAGAATCAATCATAACCATGAACACTTTATGTCAGGAACAAGATACATAGCAAATCAAGAGGAAACAAAATCACTGTGCTTGGATTTCAGGCTCTTTTAACTCAGTACAGTGGAGCCAGAGAGCAGAAGTGTTTTGTTATTGACAAGGGCACCAACGAAAAGTGAAGGCAGCTTCATTCCCCAGTAAAGTCCTGACATCTAGTGGTCAGTTGGCAGTACATTACCTCCCCTCCTCCCTGAGTGTCAAAGCAGATTTTTGTGGTGTTTTTGTTTTTTGGTTTCTCGATACAAACATAAAACTGCAGGTTAGGAATGGGAAAAGGGAATAAGAAACACATCTATTATTAGGTAAAACACAACTGGGAATTAATGAAAAGTATGTCATGACAGAAACAAACAAGCATTTTGCTTATGTCGGCACCAAATGCAGGTACCCGATTTTGGGAAATGTAATTATTTTTCCTGATTAGTATTCCCCTTGTGCTGGTATAAGGGTTGAATGGGTGAACTGGAAATCTGAGAGTTAGAAAGAAACAAATAGCGTTTCTATTGTTTTTTCAGATCAAATCAAGGATAGTTCTTTCACAGCATCAGCTTGTATGACCCCAACTATTACTTTTATTCTGCGATCCTGTATGGTGACCAATTTCACGGAATGCCTGTCAAAGCTATTTGTTTACAGCACAAATATAAAAGACACCAACAGCAGTGGCACTCCTTTAAGCTTTTTTTTTTATTACAAAGCTCTGACAAATACTTTGCTACAGGTACCAGTATAGAATGAACCAGTTTGTCTCATAATAGATACAAAGAATACAGCTATTACAAAACACCGGTTCTGTGTTCTGTTATATAACAGATAGGGGAATAAACACTACAAAAGCAGCAATTATACAACAGTAAACTATTTCACCTAGCAGTGCAATCATTTAATAGTAAGCAGCATTAAATTAACAGACATCCAACACTGTATAAAATAGCGATGTTGATAAAAGTGTTCAATACAATGTACAAAATACGATAAATGTATAAAAAGTACTAAGAATTCTATACAATACTATACACATCTGCAGTTCAGGTCACAGTCTGCACATTCTGGTGCAAAAATAAAAACTGCTGGAAATTGATTACTTAACCATACTAAATAAGAAAAAACTAAATATAATGAATAAATCACAGTGGATTGCTAAATTACAGTACATTGATATTTAAGTTAGTCCCGTATGACCACTGGGTGTTTCCTAATTGTTTCAAGTACGTTTTTATAATAAAAAGCACCTTTAAAATCAAGTACATCACTTTACTCCCTCCCTATTTCTTTACTGTAGTACCTTGAGAAATGATCCTTTGTATCTCAAGGACCAGTAAATGAATGCAACTAATAAGTTAAACAAATGTGTCATTTTCAGGTTTTGTAGTTTTCACTTTTCCCATATTCAATTGTTAGGAAAGAAACTACCTTAAATTCACATTCTCAAAGCTGTATTTTTAGTAATTTTACCCAAGTAATAAACAATTTTGAAATCATCATCTCTGCAAGACATGTGCAACACAGTACTAACCACTGTGGGCCCTGAAAGGGTGATGTGGATGCCAGTACAATATTTCATGGAAATATGTCGCATTAAATAGAGACAAGTCTCAGAGAATCAGATTTTCAGTCTCTTACTTAAAGGTTGTACAGAGCTTAAGCCGTAAAATACAAAACGTGTTCCATTCATAGCTTTTCCATCCAAAATGTGTTCTGCTTTTCCTATCATCAAATAAAATTCTAACATTTCCAAAACCGGTGTGTGGGTTTTTGGGTTTTGATAAATCTGGGCTTGCTATTAAGTGAAAAAAATAACTTTCTCTATTTCACAGATATAGTTTTTTCCTGCTAAATCAGTCTCTTTAATATTTTAATATTGATATCCATATTAAAATGTTGCCAAGAGAAGCTGGAAATAACTTAAAAGGCCAACCTTTTTGAGATGCCAGATAGCAAAAAAAAAAGAGATGTTGCTCCAGTGCTCTACAGTTCAATTTGATGATTTCCTTGAGTTTGTTCACCATTTCCTACATTCCTGTCTACATTTGTCATTTGTTAATTCTGAGATTCCACCCTCCCCACACACAGATGGTTTGTGTAATCAAGATGTTTCTCATTTAAATCATTATCTCTCTCTCATCTAAACATCGGATTTAGCCAAGCAAATTAATTCTGAGTTATTTTTAAATGTGACCAAGATTCGGATTTGTGAAACTGTACAGAAGTGCAAACTGTATTTAAATCTTATTTCACATTTCAGGATTTGATAGCAGTGCTGAACTCAAAGTGCTCCATTTACCAAATATGTTTACCATTTATATTAATTTTATATAGCCTCTATATTAATTTTAACTTAAATCCAGAAACCTTCACAATGCTTCTTAAATCAAGGAAAGTGGGCTTTCTAGTGAAACTTTGCTTGCTAAAGTAAAAACACAGTGACCCTGAAAAGTGAAATTCAAAGTTTGAATCAAAGGTTCCAAACAGTCTGCCTGAGGCAGTGGCATGTTGTCTACATATTCAACACATGCACTGCATATCTTTTTTAGCGGTCGTGCAGAAACAAAGAAAATATTGTAATTACTTTTCTCCTTTATAATTTACAATTACAGTTATTCACTCCTGGTCCTGGAGGGCATCAGTCTACGCATCAGTCTACCAGGTTTTATAGATAGCTTCAAATCCTAACGTGGTTACTCGTGAAGGATTCACACAGATCAGTTAAGTGAAGAACTGATTCGAATCAAGTCAGGGTGGAATGAAAATAAAACAACACAGCCCTCCAGGACCAGGAGTGAATATCAGTGGGCTCGATTTATCCATTGACCACTGGGGGCAGCAGAAATCATCAAAGAGAACCTCAAAACAGCACATGCAGTAATATTTTTTCTTTTTGTCAAGTTTTTTAAAGCCAGAATTCACCTACCCTTACATTTAAGCTTTACCAAACATCTTGATGACCTCGTAAAGTTCAACGTTCTAAACAATTACTTTAAATATGAAGTTCTGTCAAACACATTTGGTGATTGAATTCATTTCCTTCAAAGATGTTAAAATGCTCAAGTGTATGGATGATTAATATACATTTACATTTTAACTGAAACACAGGCATCAATCCATATTGACTGACATAAATAAAGTTCATGTGCACATCAAAAATGTAACAGAGGCACAATGAGATACTCACTGAGCTTCTGTACTGTACATGAGAAAATAGGCTCCCGTGTGCTTGACAAGTCTCGATCCAAACGATTCCTGAATTAGTGCTTAACACTTTCTCTTTCAGTGTATGAAGGGGAGGTTTGTATTCCTCTGGTTGAACATGTAGATCTTTGATACTGGAAACTTACATCCCAGTCAACATAAAAACAAACAGAAATCTAAATCTATTCCCACAAAAGGGAGACAAAACCACATGAGCTGTAAGAATATACCAGAGAAACACTATTATTGTTTTGGCATTACTCAATAACTGGGTTTTTCAAAAACCTGAGCAGCTAAAGAATGGATTAATCAAAAAGGTTTTACCAAAAGATCATTACTGTACCACTTAATGTACTTATAAAATATGTACAAAAACTCCTCTTAATGCTTCATTAAACCTGTGAAGCACCTCTAGTAAAAAGATTTAAATATGATTGTTGAGGGAAATCAGAATTGTTGCATTCCTGAGTTTTTTTAGAACAATGTCTTTGTTAGTTTCATGTTAGCACAGCTAACTGCCATTATTTTTGAAAGAATACAACAAATGCACCATAAAATGACTGCTTTCAGCACAGCAATTACTTTACAAGTTCTAAATGAACAGCCAACCTTGTCATGGCAAGAGTTTTCTCCCAAAAGTCTCTTTGAAAATCCAAACAAAGGTCCTGTTATAGCTATAACCTTGAAATATTGATTTGTGGAGGCTACATGGTACATCTCTATCCACTGAAGCTGTCACTTGGCCATGCTGTTGCCAATATCCAGCCTCCTCTGAACTGAGCTGCCAGCTCGGGTCCGCCCTCTCTCGCCTCGTTTCCGGGCAACGGAGGAAAGAGTTGAGCCAGTCGTGCCTGGCGTCTGGAAGAAAGCCTTGAGGTAGGCCATATGCGTCTCTTTTGGAGTCAGTGGTGTTTGTGGCTGCAGAGAGAAAAGATAAAAATCTGAGGCCTGAAACCCACCAAAGGAACTGAAGGAGTCTCATGTTTCTTCCGAATGAAAAGCCTTGAGAATGTGCAAAAAGACACGAGAAACCGCCTGTGCCCCAACACATTTTTGTTGTTGGAAATTTCCTGCCAAAGAAAGGTCAATTAAAATGCAGTGGGTCCTAAGATATGGCTAGCGGTCGTACACTCCAGCCTACGTGGGGGATCCATAAAATAAAATTGTTGGTATGATGACAGTTAATGAAATATGGAATCAAAATAATTGGTTCATACATACGTTACCCACATCCATAAAGGAAAAAAGGAACTGAACATTAGTCTACTTTTTTGTATTACCGTATACACTTTTTTTTCAGACAACTGAAGTATAAGTAGCACGTAGATTAATAAAAACTACAAGGTGAAGGAATGATACGTGCTAATCACCCAAAAAGAAAATAAATAAACGGCACTCTGCGGATGGAAAGGCAAGGAGAGAAGTCCATCATATTGGGCTGGAATTTGACAGAGAAAATATTACTTCAGCTCAGGGGAATGACCAATGAAAGGCAAATGAAAAAAAAAAGCAGAATGGAAGGGTACAGTAGATATTTAACATTGCAGGCTGCGCTCACTGGGGTCTGAAAACTGATAACATGGCAGGATCTTTTGACTTCGTTAAGCTGCAACTGGTCTGTTTCCAAACGTTTATATTGTCTCTGTGCCTAGAACAAATGTACAGGACAGAAAACCATTTCATGCAGCACATAAAAGAGAAATGGCATCCGGCTCTTCACAGTAAGTCTCTCCACAGCTCTCAGAGGAACAGTTAGCGTTTGGAGGAGAAAGATGCCGCCAGTGCAAAACTACCATAAAAAAGCTCTTAATGGTCTCTATGATCATGGAAGCTTCACTTAAGTGACGCAGGAAATACGTTCAAGACAGACTCGTGAGCTGCTAAATCAGGCTGAACAGCTAAAAGAAGGCTGACGACCTACAATAAGGAAACTTCATTACAGGCTACAGAAGAGGCTTATTAACTCTATTGATTGTTTCTTGACCATGATTTCTCATTTAAATCAATACTCAGTCACTCACCTTATCTTAACTTCAGTGTCCTAATGTGATCATTTTCCTGTTTTGAATTTGACATCTCAAAGCCAGCTTTACCTCATTAGGAACCCAATGCTGCCCTATAACCATAGACAGTTCTGCGTCATCACGGTCATTTCCTCTCCCAAAGCCAACTTGTCATCAAGTTTCAGTGGAAAAGGTTATGGCAGCACCCTAATGCTAAGCCACGTCCGCTGTAATAACTGTAAATGGTGTGGTCTTTTGGGACGCACAGGCACCAGTTCTCACTGATTTGTTTCATTCTGTATTTCTGCTGTTGTTAGTACTAATCAACTACAGAAGAAAACACCCAAGGTTGGTTTTGCATTATTCTTCATTTGACCTCCTATTCACCTCCTTTTCTATGTCCTGACCTAAACCACAGCTCTTCCTCCTCAGACTCAAAAACAAAAGGAAAGGGGCGGGATGCAACATGTCTGGTAGTTAATTCACATCTTTACCCTCGCTACGTCCTTTTCGATAAATGAAACTAAGCCACTGAGCAAGTTCTAGAAACATTTCTATCAACCTAATCACAGCAAGCTCCCTCGTGGACTCGGACAGCGCTCTCTGAGGAACACAAAAGCTAATGGTCTAACAGCCTGCACAGGGAGATCAAACAAGGCAATCTGGCGCTGTCAGAACAAGTCTGTTTTCTGAGCTGTCGGAAAGAGTCTGTCTTCTGAGCTGCCTGAAAGAGTCTGTTGAAGTTTCATCTTAGCTTGTTGCCTTGTTAAAAGTAGACTTCGGCTCTTTTTTGTGTTTGCATAGGGGAAGTAGAATTGGAGCGAAATGTTACAGAGGGTGAATTGGAAGGATATAATCTACCTGGTTTACGTGAGGCTGAAGGTTTGGCATGGCTGACAGCTGGCCAGGCCCGGCAGGGGAGTCCACGCTCACGGTGCTGACAGGCCTTGGCTGCTCCGGACTGGAGCGGCCGGATGAGGGGACCTGGCCTTCCTGTGGGGGGGAGTATGCTGAGCTGCTGGGCACAGGAACAGACGTCGGTCCGACCACGAACCGCGCAGGGGACACCATCGCTGGCACGTTGAAACTGACCGGGCCCTTGTTGTGCATGTGAGTGCCTGCCCCCGCCGGGAGGCTGTTGGCCATGAGAGAGTAGGGGGGCAGCGTGGAGGAAGGCACAACAACATATGGCAAAGCCAGGGTGGGCAACCCGTTCGGAGACAGAGCCAGGCCACCGGAGCTGGGTCCAGCAGAAAGGAGGAAGTTCAAGCCATTCAGACCTGGAAGAAATGTGCACACGAGGTGAAATCTTTGAAACGGTTTGTTATCAGTTGCCAATACTATATCACGAGGTCGCTGCCCACAGACAATGCGCACAGCATTAGATCTGGAGACTTAAAATGCTCAAATATCCACTACTTAAAACATGACTTAGGAAACAATGGCTTCTTCAACTAGGAAAATAATATGTATTTCCGGTTGGCTTCCTGTTTGAATACACTTCCATCCACTTACTGGTGGGTATTTACTGCCATGTCAAAACAATGCCTCACATTGGTACAAAAAGATGGACACAGCAGCACTTCCTCACAAGATTTAATTGTTTCAGATGGTCTGTTCTTGCTACACTTTTCATATGGCAGGGCTCCGAGCTCACCTGCTGAGTTGGGCACATAGAGGTAGTGCGAGTGAGGGGCGAAATCGAGGGGATTGTGCTTCCCAGCCTCCCCTGCTTCGCTTGGGGGGCTCTGAGGGGGTCCTGGCTGTGTCTCTTCTGTGCGCAGAGAGCACCACTGTCCCTCCTGGGGCTGCATGCTGGGCACCGCCTTCAGGTCGCCTGTCTTCAAGGAGCTCTTTGACACCTGGGCATTTCCTCTCAAGCTCTTCTGGGGAAAACATAGAAATGTGTGATTCTGTAGCTGTTGAAATTATGCTATGGCATTTAACCAAAGAGCAAAAGAATGATAATTATATGTGGGAACAGGCAGAATTGACCCTTAATGGCAGAACAAAAGATTTAGAACTTAAAAGTTCAGCCCTGCAGTTAAAATTCCTTAATTCAAATTTCTCAGTGCTTTTCTTCTATAACTGCATGCTACATTGCTCAAGAATCACTCACATTTGTTGATTGTCTAAATCATAACTATTATGTACTAATCAAGTCACACATTAACCTTCCGAAGAACAGTTTTAAAATAAAATGCATGCATCATTTACGAATATCATTACTGTAACATGTCTTTAATGCAGATCTACACATCATTTTTGAAGACTGCTCCTGTCGCCGGTTGTATGAAGAATCTATTCAGGAATTCCTCATCTGTAAACATTACCTAAATGTATTCCAAACATTTGAACAAATAAAAGTGGTATGACAAATCATGTCAGTTTCCCAAAAGTGATGTATTTGACAAATTTAATTGCCTTTATTAATTACCAGGCCTCATTAATTCCCAAACTGGCATAATTACAATTGGAATTACTTGCTTTAAATCACCAATCTTAAAACAGTTCATATTTTAATATAATGGCTCTTTTCCTGATATTAATGACATTCTCAGATCACAAGAGTAAAGCTTCTGAAATATGTAATAATCCAGAAGACAATGAAATAATTATTTGCATTAATACTGAAGACTCCATCTCCTAAGTGTTTTTAAATGGGAGGAAATCAATCAGCTTAATCTTACCAAAGCAATAAAGAAGAAAAAATCTTTTCCTGTCATACTACATTATTAAGTAATAACCCTAATATCCCTGCTTATTCTTCAGAACTATGTCTTTTATCATCAAGTAGAAGCTATATACCAGGATGATCTAGTAAAGACACGGCGAGGCTGATGTCCTTCATGATGACAGCTTCACAAAAAAAGCTGATTTCTTATTTTTTTCCTTTCTATAAATACATTCTTTGTGTCTTGTGTAAGTAACTTCTGTGTTCCTATCTTTTAACTATTTTTCACAACAAAAACATAGAATTCCAAATGTAGAATTTGTGTTGAAATGGAGCTGCAGCAAAGCTCTATTCTCCACAACCCTGAATAAATCTGGCACTAAATTAATTTAGGTGTCCTTTGAACAGCAAGGTGAGTTTGGTTAAGGTCATTGTTTGGTTGCTGTTATTGTCTGTTCCTGGGGATGTCTTGATGAATATTTTTACCAGGGAAAGGGAACTCACCTCACTGAAGGCCTCTGCTCTGGAAAATGACAAATTGCCCCTTTTGGCCAATGGGCCCTCATCTTCAGAAAGCCGTTTCCTCCCCATGCTGAGGGGCTGAGAACTGTTGCTGGCAACAGGTGACCTCTGACCTTCACTAGCTGTCCGATTGCGGTCCACCTCCTCCGAGACACCATTCCCATAAAGCATGACCAGTGGCGCTGGGGGCATGTTTTGGAAATACACCAGGGAATTCTGGGACTGGGGTTCTCTCTCGTCCCTGGGGGTCCCGGAGGACACTGACAGGACCGGTTGGCATCCCTGGGCAGTGCTTGGAAAGAAACGAGGCAACAGCAGCTCAGGGTGTGGCAGAGAGAAGGCCGACTGGGCATGAGGCTTTGGAAGAGATCCATACTGCGAATCCACAGCAATGGGAATGACCATCTGGCTGAAGGCAGGACGATGAGATGCAGAGCTGTTCTGAGGACTTGAGGCTTTTGATTCTCCATAGTGTTGGGTTCTAGAAAAAAAAACAGAGCAGCCCAGATTGGTAATATCTTTTTATCTTGCATCCGCAGTTGTACTTCAAAAATACTATATGATTAATAGCTTAAGTTTCTTTAAACCTTATGAAGAAATGTATGAAGCTGTATGAAGAAACAGATGTACTAGGCCCAAAGTCAATTAAATTAACTGAACAATACTGGAGCATTTTAAATATTTTCTGCAAATTTCCAATACTCACTTTAGATTCTCTCCAAACTGCAGTTTACAAACAGCTGCCCTTTTTTGTGAATAGTCCACTGGCTCAGGAGTCAAGGCTGAGTAAGAAGCAAAGAGAATGAAAGAAAAAAATCAGCTTGCAATACAATCTACATCTGCAAAATAAATTCTGTTTGTGGTGTTAGCAGAGAGAAGGATGATAGAAATCTTGGGCACCAATTGTATTTAAGTCCCTGATAACAGTGATTGCTGCTGGCATCCCATAGGCCCTGATTCTAATGAATTATTCTCACACTAATAAAGGACTGTGCTAAAATAGCTGATTACAGATAGATTTCCTTAAAGTTATTTTCCTGACCAACATGCTTCTGTTTAAAGACGGTTACACTTTTAGATTTCACAAACAGGCAGTGGTGCATTTATCATTTATCCTAAATCCTTTCATTTTTTAAAAATTATCATTGTTGTCCAAGGACATAAGGGACATAAGACTAGTTTCAGTTTAAGTGGTTAATTTTATTCTCCGATTGCTCAAGGACGTGTGTTTCAGCTTGATCAAACTTCACAAAATTCTCAAAAACCCTAACACAAAAGATAATAATAGTGTCAGTGCTGACAGTGGTAAATTGTCTCTGATGGTACTTTGCTGACTAGTGCAGTACTCAGAGATACTGGTTTGTCAAAGAAGAAAACTTGAATTTTCATAAATAATAATGACTCTGCCCTGAAACTGACATTAAAAGATATCAGTGTAATTAGGAAACTGCTCCCCTAGTTCATAGTGATGGCTGTTGTAATTCCTTGGGGTTAAGGTATCAAAGCTTTGTGTCAAACTGGACTGAGAAGAGGCGCACCTGCAACTAATTATATAAACTAAAAACATGTTAATAAAAATGTATTAGTCAAGTCCATATCAGTACACATCCGTATTTTGGCACTGCTCTACAGTAAGTTTCCAAAAAAAGTTTTCTGATTCACTCTTTCTATCTATGAGCTACTATTATTGGCACAATCATATTTATCATTGCCAGCCACCACTTCCTCCCTTATACATTTCATAACCTTTTAATTTGATGATTTTACACTTCACATTCTTAAAAGCTAGGCCTTCATTTTAAAGTTTCCGATTTAATTTATGAAACTGGAGACCAAGACGAGCCCAGTGGAAATGTCAACTTGTTTTATGTTTATTGAATACCAAACAAAAGCAGGCCAACAAAATGCCAGATGATACCACTTGATATCAAATTAAGTGGTTTTGGTGGGTTTTTTTTTTTTACAACAAAATAAAAAAACCAAAGACATAACAAATGTTTCATTGTTAGTCCATGCTACAGCATTTTTTTATTTTAGATTTCTGTGAGCAACTCTGGCTTGGAACAGAACTTGGAAGCTGTCTCACCCATCACAGGTAACTAACCCACTGTCTGATGGCAGGTCTCCTCTGAACAGAAAGAAGATGCCTCTGGGAAACAGAAGGCTGCCCTCCAGCACTTGGGGCTGCAGTGCGTGACTGGCATGTGAAGTGAACTTCGTTGTGGGCCTCCGAAAGCTAATGATGTTACCATTCTGTTCCCTCTGTGGGCTGCTGGGCGCGGAGCTGATCTTTCGCTGCTGGCTCCTGGAGGCAGGCACGCTGCTGAAGGAAGCATGTCGTGTCAGTCTCTGCTTCCCGGGGCCGGTTAGCGCAGGCTGGGATGTCAGCAGCTCTGGGCGGACGGATGGTAAAGCTTCTGCCACAGCCACCACTTCCGCATCTCCTGCAATCGTAAAAATAAACGATTCCACGTGACGCCCCAAGATTGGTGGGAGAGCATACCGACAAAGAGGCTACGCCCACGGAATATTTTCTTTTATAATCAATGGGCAAAATGCATGCCTAATTAATGTATTATTCCATTTAGAAATGGTGAATGTGTAATCATAAAACAAACCAATCTGGTAAGTTTAAGGGGCCATGAGCCACAAATCTGGAAATCCAAATGAAATATCAGAGGTGAGGAAGGTATGATGGGCCTTGAACCGTGTCAGGGACCTACAACAAAAGCAGTGAGACAGAACTTGAAATTTCTGGTACTTACCACTGGATGTCCTGAATTCTGTGGGACCAATCCATTTAAAAGCTGGTTTCCTTCCTCTTTCTTCTTTCACATGAACCTTTTTAATGAGGCCCAGGCTCGTTAATACATTAGCGATGTCATATAACCGACGGACCTTAGCTGCAAACACAGGGGTGAGATGGTCAAATATAAATGCAAGTGTCGTGAATGATCATTTTGTGTTATTCTTAATTTCTACAGAACAGGCCTTGCTTTAGTATTCTCTCAACATGCTCAGCTCTCCTGTGTCAAACATCGAAAAATAGCTTCCAGAAATACCTGCCTATAGGAAATTAGTATGAGGAGACAATTAAGAAGTGCAAAGCCAAACAGCCCTCCAAAAACTATCACTTTTTGGGTAGGTTTTGAAATTTGTAATAAACAGGGACAATAAAGAGTGAAATCTACAGATTTGTTCAAGGAAAAAAAAAAGATATCCAACTGTGATATTAAAAATAGAGGAGTTAATAATAGGTATTTATATACTGCCCACATTCACTTCTCATACTCAGTCTTGAACCTGCTTATCAGGAACAGGAATAGTAGGCAGGGTAGAAATTTAGACATGAACAGCAGAGGGCCATGTGCATTATATAATAAGACACAGTCCTATGTTGAGAAATAAATAGGTCGATAGGAAAACTAAGGTTCTTTGGGTTCTGAAACTTGACCCAAAAATGGTTTATTAGCCTATTTTTTGAAACTATTTTAAACTTTGATGGGTTGGGGAGCTTTAAGTGATAAAAAAAGAACCACGTGTGCCCCCCGAGTTGCTCAACTGGTAAATGGCACATGCCCATGTGGAAGTAGAGCTCTGCAAAACCAGGCATCGCAGGTCTGAGCCTGGGATTTGGCACCAGCCCAGGAGGTTTGGAGTCTCTTGACTCTTGGCAAACATACGGACCCCTGCAACCTCTCAGGAACCTCCTAGGCCTCATCCAGTCTGCTTTGAAAACTCTAGTATGATGTAATAGAACCTGTGACATGTTAAAGGGCGATTGGCTTGAAGGTAGGTGGGTGGGAGGAGTCTGCCTCATTCTCCCGTGTGCAGAAGCGGGGTTTGAAACTGTGAGCAGAAATGTGAAAATCTCAGTGTCTATTCAAAAATTGGATGAGTATGACAAAAAATAATAAGTGAAAAAACAAAGAAAAATGCTTTTACTCAGCTAATTTAGATTTAATTATCCATTATCACATCTAATTCTTGGTGTTAGGAAAAGAACATCAACTTACTTTTATACTTGCTGTGGTTGGCTGCATCCTGGCTCTCTTCAATGAGGATTTTAGCTGCAACATCCAATGTAACAATCCTGGTCCTTGATACCAGGAACAGCATAACAAACTTCTGACTCATAATTCGCAAGGATTTGTCTTTTCTTCTGCTGGCTGACCCTGTAAAGACCAGTTAAACTATGATAAAGAAATATAACATGATGGAAAAGGCATTAAAAACAGGATATTATAAATTTAGCGAGTACATAGAAGATTTTTAAAAATAGGAGTAAACAGTAAATAGGAAGTAAAATGTTCATAGTGTTCAAATATCTACTGCTCCAAATTCTAGCTTTCAGACTGAGTTTTGGTGAGATGTGTAAATAAACTTTTTAATGTATTTTGTGTTTGATGTCTCTCTATATATATATATTCAGAAATATGTACTTTACAGTAAATCATAGTGAGTTGTCATGCAAAGCTTCAGCTATAGAAACCACAGCTACTAGCAGCTTTTATCTCAAAAGTCCTGAAAAACATGCTGAGTATTTTCTTAGCTAACTGTTCCAGTCAAAATGTTTTCTTATTGGAATTTACAGCACCTAGGTGATTTTAACCGCTCAAAGAAAAAAAAATCTACAATTTCCTTGCCCACACAATGTCATCTCCTGCACTGCCTCTAAAATTGTTTTTTAAATGTAATATTGTCTATGTGTATGAGTCACATACACAGCAGACACGCATTGCTATTTTTCATATCAAATAAAAATACAGAAGCAGCAAAACAGTTGCAGGGAGAAAAATGTCAGAAAGTTAAAGGATAATTCCAGTTCTAAATCTAATTCTGTCATGTTCAATAACACTGAGAATACATGTTCCAGTAAGCTATCAAACAGGAACTAACAAAATCAAAACATGTAATTTTATTAAAAAAACAACATTTTGAAAGGAAAACTGGTTTAAAAGCTTTAAATGAAGTTCAATGAAGATCAGCCTCAATAATTCTTGGCCTTAAAGGCATTGTAACACACAGTATAGTGAAAAGACCTGAATTCCTTTCATGCTGAACAAAGGAGACTAAGAAGTCACTGGTTCAAAGAATTAAAAATTCCACAAAGTACTGACATAGTCAACCCACTACACAACTCCAGTTAAATTAAAATGGTTTAAGTGCCTGGAACCAACATCCCAGCCATATCACTGCTTCAAGAAAGGGTTCAATGAGGTACTGATCAGTACAAACTATAATTTAGATTACAGTAACAAAATTACACAATCTGAGAATGTGCATTCCACTACCCTATTTACCACATGAGCACTTCAAAAATCCTCTGCCCAGGAATTAACTTATCACAACAAAATCATGTAGCAACAGTAATGACAAATCACACCCAGGAAAAAGAAACCAAGACCAAGTTTGTAAAAACAGACATTGTGTTTCCATTGTAATACAATAAGAGGCTTGTAAGACAAAAAACAGGGTCCATATACTGACCTATCAATTGTAGGCCTTACAAGCCTAGAGGGCTCTGAGCAGAACTAAGGTACACAGTAATGTACTGAGCAGTGTACTGTATATAAAATTAACACTTTTCATTAAACAGAGCAGATTCTCCAGTAAATGAAAGCATTCTTCACTTTCAAACTGATTTAAGGTGTTAAGAGAATGCTGATGGTTTATTTAATTTCACTCAGCCAGAGTGAATTATTGGAGTAAAAAAATCTCTATTGATTAAAGCCACCAGGTTTGATTAATGAATCACTCCATCTTACAGCTATTAGCCCCTTAGCAACAGGGTAATTGTATGAAACTTTTAACAAAACCAGATTTTTGCAGTTATTAACGGACAAACCGATTTTAGATGACCTTTCTGTAGTAAAGTGTGAAAAATATGTAAACCCTGTTTTATACAATATTTAGCTTTTTTAAGGGCTTACAAGTGCTTTAGGATGTGCAACATTGCCCTCTATTAATCCATGAAAGAGGCAAAGTGATCTTGGTTCACAAATTCTGTCTGGCTGATGTGCCTTACTCCTGCCCTGTGGGAAGCATCACTGAAGAGGAAGACTAAAACATTCCCCCTAAATAATGATTGCTCTTTGATTCTGTCACTGTCTCTCAGGCTGCCTGATTGAACCTGCCAGTCTTATTTCGCCTGCGTCTTGAACAGGACACAAATCTGCCATCAGGTCAGCCTCTTTTCTCCGTTAATGGGATTTGATGGGTCCTCGTGAGACGACAACAACAAAAAAGAAACCCAGAGTGACTAGCACAGTCATGTAACAAAAACGCCTCAGGGGCCAGGCCTGTTAGTGAGGTGGCAAATGAAACAAAAGTTGTGAGACATGACATGCCCGGATGGCAAGCGAAGCAGAGCCTGACAGGCCTGCGGAGGAGCGGTGCTGGTGAACGCGCCGAACTCTCTTTTCCTACCACAGCCGATGTCCGAATCACTGCCGTCCTCTGAAAGCTCAGGGGCACACTTCTTGCTCTGAGGCTCGGCCGGTACCAAGTCCTTCTCGCGGATCTGTGCCATCTGCCCCTCGTAGTTCTGCTGTCGGCCCACGCTCTGCAGGGCCTCCAGGGTCTGGCGTAGGTGATGTCGCCCATGCCAGCAGTACTGGTTTTTGGCCACCCGGCTCACCAGCAGCAGAGACTCCAGGACATTCACAATGTCATAGATCCTCCTGCGTTCCACCCCTGGCGATAGGCGGGAAAACAAAAATGTTTCAATCTTCATTTTGCTCCCGTTTTTAAACCGTACTACTTATTAGGAGCAAGAAAGACACAAACCCAGCAAGAGACCAACAAAGCAAGCTCTCATTAGTGGCTTCTTTGTGGAAATCAAGAGCAATTAGAATTCACGGCAATAAATAATGAACTAAAACAAAAATCCAGTGAATTTCAACTGCTTTAAAGATTACAAGCCTGGTGATTAATCCACTTAAGCCACACTTAAAGCTATTCCAATAACAAAAAGGATTTATCAACACTGAATATACCTAATTTAAATTAAAAAACCTCTCCCACTTCACTCCTTCAAATTTCCTTTTTCTTTACATTTATTTTCCATCTCTGTACATTTTTGTATCATTAAAAAAAAAATCAATGGAAAAAAAGGTCTATCTTCATTTCATTTCATCCACAGGCTAATGTGTTTCCAGCTCCAATCGCCTTAAGAAATATTCTAAATAAGCTGTTACCCACAGCATATAGCCAGGACCATGATCAATAATTTGGGAGAAAACAGTAAACAGTAACAGTGAGTAAACGTAAAAAAAAAAAACAGTGAACAGTCGAAATTCTCTGTTATACTTTTTGATAGAGTCAAAAAGGAAGCCAAGAAATACTAAACCTGCCTACAATAAATTAAAATGAGGAGACAAATAAGAAGTGCACACTAAAAACACTACCTCTTTCTGAGTAGGCCAAAGCAGAAGATACACACAGATCTCTCAGTAATGTGGATGTGCTGTTGAAGCCACACTATGATGCTTCCTATGTCTTAACACGAGGCTACTGTCGCCTGTGGTTCTTAAATTTCTAGATTTATTTAAAGTGTAATGGCAAATAAAATGTAAAACTTAGTATCAGGGCAAATAAAAAGCATAAAGTGGCAACTCAATAAACATGGTGTGCATTTTAAAATATGTCCTTGAATCCTATCACATATAACAACCAGCATAATCAGACAAACGTGGTTTATGAAGAACACCCATCTTTATTGTTCAGAAAATTAAAACCTCTTCCTTAACTAAAAACATTCTTTGCAAAGCAGCTTTGTCAGGGACTCACTGCTTGAGGAAGAGGGTAGGTATCCATAGCAACAGCCTTATACTAGCATACTTCTAAACATTACATCTATAAAATGCTAAATATGGATTTACATAACCATACTTTTTTAGCAATACTAACTAATGTAAAAACTAAGAAGACATTCAGAGATACAAATGTAATAAAACTGAAACTTTGGAAAAGGTGTGGGTCAGGAAAAAAAACATAGGTATCAGTTTCACATATTTTGAAAAAAAAAACACAGGAAGGTCACCACTGTCTCCTTACCCAGACTTACAGCCACCTCATCTAAAGAAATGTTAGTCTTCTCTGCAGATAGTGGGTAATCAGGATAAAGGGCAAGGAACTTCTGACAGAGAAGGCCCAGGCTTTTCAACTTCCTGCTAGGCCTCTGTTTTTCAAAATCTTCTGGGGTGCAGTCATCAGTTATGTCAAACTGAAGATGTTAAAGGAAAGAACAGACATCAATCAATTTTTCTGGTCTACTTGCTAATGAAAATACTGTTAACCCACACAATGGACACCTGCACATAGTGTAAATGCACACAGCCAGACCCACAAGAAAACACCTGAAATTGCAAGGTACTGTACTAGCTCACATTTCCCTCTTGAAATTCTTCCATTTTTAAAAACAAAAAGGCCATGTCTATCTGCTTTATATCCATGTGGGACATTCTGATGGAGTGGAATACAGGTATATCACCACAGAAAACTCAAGAAAACCTAGAAGCACTGTACAGAAATTATCTAGAGTCATCCAAGTCAGAAATTTCTGTTGTTGGGTGTAAAAAACTCAGCTGACTTCAAGGTATAGCAGTTTTCATTTCTTCTGAGCCCTTGTTGAGTTTACCTGCTTATTCAATTACACAAATACAATAGGCAGGTCAATTGAGGAACCATATGAACCCTGAACCTGAAAGCCATCAGCCCCTTTTAACAAATTCTGAATACCCTGTTCAGTTGTGACCACCATTTTGGGGTTTTGCGCTGAATTCCCAGATAGGAGGTACATGTTACCTGGTTAGAATCATCCACAACCTCCTCTGTCTCATTTTCAATGGGGCGAAAAAGGCTCTTCCTCATCTCTCTGTCCCTGATGTCGGGGCTGGCAGCACTGATGAGCATTTTCAAGTTTGCTGTTGGAGTCCAGGGCTCTGTCTGAGGGCGGTCCACAAGTTTGTTTGGAGTGCAGTGAATTCTCTCTGGGGTGTAACCTTTTCTGCCTAGCACAACTGCTGATGTTGTCTCGTCTTTAAAGGGAGTTATTTTTTTACATTCAACATATATGTTCTCCTATAAAACATAAACGAAAAACACATATATGTACAAGCACATGAACATGACACTAGTAGCTGTAAATCATATTTTCTTGTCAAACTATAATGTTTTTCAAAATGAAAACATGCGTTTTTTCACAATACACATAAAACTGAAAGATATTAAATGATTATAGTACTCTGCAAAATTATATTGTTTAATACTGTGATTTTTATTGTAATACTAATAATATTGTTTATTCCTGAGGATTATCACTAATTCGAAGCAACATAGGCACAAAAATTGTACGTTTACAGTATATATACACTGTACGTACATTTCACAATTAAAAGTAGACTCTTTCTTAGGACGTTTATTGCCTACAAAGAAAAAACAGTACTCATAATAACTAACACTGGCAAAAGTTTACTAATTCTTAAGTTAATTTTCTTTAGAAAAATCATTAGTATGTGCACAAACATGGCAATTTTAAAACTATGTGTCAGTTACCTGTTCATTACATAGTTAAGAACTACGTGATGCTTTGTAACAAGAAAAAGCTTTAAGAGGATGCATTAGGAAAACTTATGAAGCTAATAAAAAAATCAATCCCACGGCGGGTTCCTTCTGGTTTCTTTCCTATCGCTTCTTTTTTTTATGCTGGTTTGTTTTGGTTGTTCGTTCTTATTTTTCTTTTTATTAAAAAACAACAGGATATGCTTGCCTTCTGCTCAATTTTGCTTTCATCTTCATTTATGATGTCCAGTTTGGTCTTTCTTGGACTCACCAGATCCTTTAAAGATAAACATTCAACTTTCTCCATCTATAAAACAAATATAATAAGGATTAAAGTTTGAGTGTGAGAGTAAAACGAAGTGCGAGATGCATAAACACGTACTTCTATAACTAGCTATCTTTCTCTACGTTTTAGATGGTTCGAAATTCTCACTTGTGTTTAAAAATATTAATAAAACTATCATATGCTTGGGTCTTCAAAGTGAAAAACACTTAACTTTCTAAAGTTGTACCAAAGATTGTGAAAAACTCATTTGGTCAGTTGATTTTGGCGCAAAGACCTCACAAATTCCGCCCTCTACTCACATTTACTGAATTGTGGATCCTGACAGCTTCCTCACAAGAGAAGTCAGTGACGCATAGCTACTCTATATAGTATATATGCACATATATAACTTTGTTTCCAAATGGTCAGTTCATAAATATTTTAATGCTCTTATTATAAAGCTACGTGTATTTTTCTTAGCAGGCGCAATTACCTACAACATCTGTATAAAAACAAACAGAAAATAAATCCAACATTAAAACCAAGGTTCTCCATAAAAATATAAATGACAGAAATACTAAACTTACATACAGTAGATACATAAAAAGCATTATTATGTATTTATATGGGAGATAACGCTTAACAGGCTAAACCTAGAGCACGGACTTGTATAAAAAGTTTACTCACCTGGTCGTTTTTCAGTCCAACTCAATTAGTTTATGTGTTTCGTCTGGTCGTAAAACACTATAAATTACAACAACACCTTTTACAAATAAACCATCCCAGTTCATCAGCTGTAACCTCCCAGCCTGACCCAGTCCTAGTCCGTTCTGATGGTACTGAAAATGACATTCCTCATCACAGTTTACAACACCCGCTAAAGCTCGTTTTCTGGCGCTCTGAGAATCTCAACCCATTCCAGCCAATCGGCAGCCGGACGTGCGGAAACTTAATCGGACCGGAGCCAATCAGCGCCAGAGCGGCTGCCACGCCTCCAGGGGTCCGTGTTGGCGGGTGAGTCGGCGCGGTCGGCTGCAGAAGGAGGAGATTTGCTGGTATTTGGAGTAGAGCTGTGCTTCTCGCACCTTGGAGACCTAATTAAAAAAGTAATCACTGCGGTTTTTTGCTGTTCAGTGTAAAGACTGTGGACCTGCTGTAACATGCTGTAATTAACCTCTGTTTGAAAGAAACAGATGGAAGTGGAGCACAGGCGGATTCTGGCGCTGACCCTGCGCGGAAATTGGATTGGAAACCTAGATGTATAATTACCCACCTCCGGCTTTGATCAGGACGGTTAAAATAAAGCGATAACAGTTCTGTGACACAGCCATGAAATATTTTCAGAATTACGTTAAACTAAATGTTTAATACACTGGAGACATTTTTTTCTTTTCAAAGCTAGGTGAACGATCATTACATTTCAACTGTATGGTATTAAAACGATCATTTTGGCTGCTACTCCCTGTATAATGGTCAGATTTCGGGATTTTTACACATTCATACTACCAATAAAATAATATTTTAAAATGTAGGTATTGCAGTTCATTTGTCTAATGGAAAAAATAGGTGTGACGTTTTTCATTTTATTCTACACAGTTGCAAAGTTTATTTGGATCACTGGTTTATAGCATCAACTCTTAAATATAAATATAAAGTCAAAACATAATAACATAAATGGATTTTGTGATATACAAAATATTTTTTAAACAAAAAGGACCTCTTAGAGGTTCGCACAAAAGTAATAATTTAATCGAGCTGTAGATTACTGACTTCAATGCTGAGTAATAAGCAAGTATTCTTTAGTGATACATTTTGGTTGTGTCCACTGTCCACCCACCATGTCATGTTGAGATGTTTTTTTCTTCCATTCTAAACCAGTATTTTAAAGCAAGGGAAGTCTGGTTTGAGGGAAGGTTTGTTTAAGGGTTACATATTAAGTGGGAGTTTGCGTTACACCCGGTGGAAGATGTGTAGTTAATTTATATAAGCCTGGAAGGAGGGGGAAGGGATTTAGCAAAGCAAACATATCAGAGCAGCGCTTAATTTTAGCAAGGTGGTGTTGTGGCTTATTGGGGGTCTTTTTAATTTATTTTCAACGTTTTTCCTACGGCGTTCGATTTGATTTGAAATCGGAGCCCGTTTCTTGTTGGCTTTACGCAACAGCTCAACAGTCTGACAAAGGCACGGCAATTCGCCTCGGGGTTGCCTATTCGGCGCCCAAACTGTTGATTCCCGAAGGACTAGGCAGAGTCGCCTTTCTGAGTCACAGCATTTTTTTGGGGGGGGGGGGTTTGTGGTCTATCGCGTATGATACTGGAGTTAAAGTAGAGTGAATTCTAATCAATCACCTTTGGAACTGACGAATGCAAAAACAGTATTTATTTACTGTACCAAGTTGTTTGACAACATATTTTATATTTTAAATTCGGCAATGCTAAAAAAATGCAAGTCGTAGCTACGTCAGTATGCGTAGGCTGCAAAGTAACAGGTAAACGTTTCTTTACGTTTCTGGACGGAAAAGAGACACGGTTTCGGCTATGGAGTCTTGATCTTCAGGTGTGTGAAGAAGGCTGCACAACCGATACGTTGTGTCTGTTTTCTTTTCGTTTCAGCAAAGCTAAAAAATGCAGAGACGGTGATATACCAGCAACTAACCCCCTCAAAAAAATCTCAAAAGACGTAAGAATTTAAAATAGTGTTTCCCAAGACTTGTCAAGAGTATCATCGTGCAGAGCAGGGCTCCGCCTTGTAAGGGGCAAATATGTCAGTACTGTGTGAATATATGCGCACTGAGTTTAAATAAGATTTGCAAGTCAAAAATAGTGTTGAAATACGTTATGGTGTATCTTTGAGTTGGGTTGAGGTAGTTCAAATATTACAATAACAGATAATTTAAGCATTTAAATGTTTTCCATTATCTAGAGCAGTACCCAGATGTGACTAAAACACCTGGCTATAAATCCAATTGTGGTCGCAGAAGTCATAAAAAGACTAGGCCCCACAGATAGTGGAAAAAGTGTTTACTAAAGTACTTTTCTTCAGAAAAAATAGCATTCATCAAGTGTGTAAAAGCTTTGGCACTTTGAGATTGCTTGACCCGATTTTCCTCTCTTTTCAATTTATTCTGGTTGTTGTTCAAACAGTGAAGACTTGAGAGGTTTTCATTTTATTCAGTGGGAAGTGTAAGCTGACAGAGAATTCGCATTAGAATCACTGAGCAAAACTGTGCAAACTGCCTGAATCTGCAGCTCTGATATGAAGATACATTTCACACACAAAATAATTTACTAATCCTCTCTGTGATGTTCCTTTCTTAGGGTGATTGTATGTATTGTTGTGTTCTTAATTTTGATGGGTTTGGGATTAAATGCAGTTTAGTAACAAAAATATTGGCCAGGGAAACTTTTATTGCAGCTCAGGAAAATATTTACAACAACTCACTTATACAGATGGGGGTAACTGCAGTCTGTAACTGATATAACGATGATACTATAGCTGTTCCAAAGAGCTGTAATTGTGTTTCTATACCATGGCCTAGACTGCAACCTCCCAATACTGTTTCTGATGTGTTGGCCTGTTAAACACGTCTTTGTTATAACTAATAACCAGCAGAACATGCCCTGTACTTCAGGACATACTCAGTATAAGTACTGTATATGGCAGTAGGAGGTGGAAATGGTGTACAATACACTACTCCCTCCCAACTGTGCTGAGTCCCTTCAGCACCATAACTGGCTTAAACTAGGGGACATAACAATTCAGTTAACAATTAAGTCCACCATATAGAGTTGACTCAAGTAAATAAACTTTGTGTAAATAAGTGTTATGCCCGGGCGAGTCAGAGCTCGCAGCTCATGGTTTCTTCGGAAATCGGGAGCATTCTCATATTCTATCTGGGGCTGTTCGGACTTCCTGGGGCCGATTGTCCCAGCCTCCTCTGACCAATTAACGGGTGCTTTAGTCTCCATACTTAAACTCTACTCTGCCACTGATCTGGTACTCTGTCATTGAGTTACCTTCTGACAACTGTAGTGTGCCCAGCAATACTACTGTACCTTGCATCACCGAAGGATATTCTGCTTGAATTCGCCTGAAAGATTCCCAGTCTGTTCTCAACTTCTTCTGACTGTCCTGAACCTGAGTAGCCAGTAGTCTTTTCAGCACGCTACCAGTCACATGGTTCCCTGCCAGTAATCGCACACAGCGGCACAGCCCCCTATCTACAGTACAACTGCCCAGAGAGTTGTGTTCGCCTTCCAATCCTATACGAACCCGGTCTCCATTCTCCACGATCTCCATCTGTCTTCTCTGTCAGCCTCCGTTAACCAACCCACTTCGGCTATGTCCGTCAGGCTCCAGCTCTCTCCGAGCCCTCACTGGCTTATTGTACTTGGGTTCTCTGGCCTGTCAGTATGAAGCGGCTGTCTCAGCCAGCTAGCTGCGTCTTAACAACATTTGACAACTGGTGAGCCAGTGAGCCACAGTCTTCCACAGTCTGATGTGGCCACTACCATTGCTGGGCAGGCGTACTGTATATGTATGAACATGTTTGAATAGGAGTGTGAGTTGTAGAGGTATTATCTTCAAGGGCTGCTCTGCATTGCCTTGCCTGTTATCCATAATTATGTGTGATGAGGGGATGAGGGTGGGGGCATGTTGTGACAACAGCCTGACAGACAAATTTGTGTTGGTATCCCAGGTGTTGGACATGATGAGCAGTGGAACTGTTCCTGCCATCCAGCAGATGGTGACTTCTGTGGCAGATCTGTCTGGGATCCAGTTTTGGATGGTGGGACCTAAGCTGTGGGTTCACTGTTGGATGACTCTAGTTCTTTATTGAATTAATGCTATGATGCCTTGGGTGTAACACTGCACGTGGATAGGGTAGCATTCAGTGTAGACAGGTGACCTTGCACAAGAGTGGATAACTTGGAGCTAAAGTTTCATGATTAACCATAGGTTTGGGCTTGCTTAAACAACCTCGGTTTTTGAACAGCTGGTGGCAACACAATTTGTATTAGTCTAGTCAGACATTTACATAAGGTTTATAGCCAGACTGCATACTGCTTAGGGGTTGCAGTCTCTTCTGTGGTCTCTTGCTTTGCACTTGCTTGTTCTGTTGCTGTATGTTTTTATTTTATAGTTTTTGTTGAATTAAAAAAATGTAAATTAAGTTGCCAGTAACTGTCACCCTCATCCAATATTGGCAGATGTTTCAGTCAACAACTTTTTGGTCGTTGGCTGTCCACCAATTTGTTTTTTTCTGCAGACAGATGCCAGTTGTTATAATGTTGTAAAGCCAGTGGACTGCTCCTTCCACACATGATGCAACTTTGCTTCCTTATCACATGACCTTCCAGCTAGCTTACCACATCACCCTTCCGTCATGTGACCTTCTATCCTACACTTCATCTCACCCTCCTAGAGGCCTGCAGTGTTCCCCATTTCTTCCCCGTGGCCTTCTGATTGTTCTTTCCTCTGCAATGTTCTGCCTGTACAACAAATTGTACAGAATTAATGCAGTCCTTTCCCCTTTTTGGGTTTGGCACATTCAAATTGACTTGGCGTACTGTACAGATATAATGTTTTTCTTTATGCTTCTCTGTTGTGGTATAGTTTAACTTGAACTAATTCCACAATAAAACTATTGTTCAATATGGTTTTTTTGAGATTTGGGTTAAGCAAAACTTAATTTAGTGTTACAACAAAAATATTAATCAGCAAAATATTTATTCTGGTATAGCAAAGCCTCCACATTAATATTTGTGAATGCTTTGCTATACCAGAATAAAAATTTGAATAAAAAATAAAATCGTAGTCCTTTTAAACTGGATTAAATAGCTCTAGCACAGAATGGTAACTATGTGTACGTGTTGTTCAAGTTGGTAGCTGTGTCAGCATGCCTAA